ATAAACATTATATGACTCATTTTACATCACAAATCTCCAAATACCTCTAAACACAAAATGTGTGGCCATGGACAAGTCCCATGCTCACCAAGATGTCAATATAACAAGAGGCATATATATACATCAATTTCAAAAGACTTAGAATATAGTCATGAACACACAAAAGCATGACAATATCAACATACAATATATTCATAACCTAAGTCCAAAATACTAAACACTATGTTATGTGCATCAAATAGAATCCTCCAATATGCTATGCCCTCCACATGCACCTCATGCTCAACTCATCCACTAAGTGGACCTCTTGCCCGAGGATCCTCTATGCTTAACATAACCTGAAATGATGTCCCCAAATGCGGGGTGAGATATACAAATATATCTCACTAAACCAAGGGCACTAGAGGATCACTCCACCCTATGGCTCACTTAATGTGCATACAATGATCATCATATAAAATGCATAAATACAAAATCACAACACTGGGCTCACATCCAAGAACATCCATACAAGGATTACGTTCAAGGACCCCATCATATAACTCCCGAGAAGCTTCCTGGTGCCTCTCCCATGGATGAGACAAACCCATGGAAAAACCCAACTGGAACTCCTCATGAGCCCTATCCAGCGGAAGTCCCATGTTTGGATCATCCTGGTGCCGCTCCCAGAGTCGGCCTCATGCCAAAACCCGACCGGAATCCCCCAAAGGGTATCTCCAGCGGAAGTCCAAACCACACACATCTACTGGCCAGAGATCACAGATATGTCACACAACATGCTCCAAGCATGTCACACAATAAAGCAATAATGCATGACCATACATTTCATACAAGTCAAAGAGCACACAATCCAACTACTACCTTCCACTAAGTGTGGCGGAACACACGAGGGATAAAACCCAAGTACCAAGAGTTTGCCTTAACTCCGAAGACAATGCTCTTCAACGTAAGCTCCAAGCTTATTCCTCCTCTATCGAATCCGTGAGAGGGAACCTATAACGATCAAACAATAATGATCAACAATACAATTCACAACAATAATACTTAAACATAATCACCTAGGCCTAATGGCCAACTTTCATCTAATTCACTACCCCAATCATTTTAATCATCAAACTAATTCACCATCCACTATTCTATGCATCAAAACATCCACAATTAATTGTACAACATTTTTCCCATCGTTTTTTCCTTAAATTCCCTTATAGGTCGAATTAACACACACATAAACATCCAACATTCTTCCTTCCAATTCCCTTACTTCATATCAACCTACCATCCATTTAAACATCATTTTCAACCATACAACCTCAACTACACAATTTTTACATCACCAAACATACATGACCTCAATAGGTCGAATTCTTCAAGGAAACATCCTCCAAGGTTTTTAATTCAATTCCACACTCCTTACACCTCATACAATCCTATAATTAACTCGTACCAATGCTCCACAACTCAATTATTCAATCATACCATCATCCCAAATCTCAAAGTATTGGAATTCAACCCAAAATTTCACTAAGTTACAATTTTACAAATCACCATAAATTTTATTGCATCAATCATCATCATTAATCATTCTAAGCATTTAATTTCAAAGGAGGCATACTATTTAATGCTCCTAACTACCACAACTCAACTCACATAATCAAAAACCCTCACCATTTTATGATCTCATGAAAAACTCAATGAGAATGTGAAAACTTACCACCAATAGCTTCCTAGGATCCAATGAGAAAGTCTCTCCAATGAATCAACACAAAAGGTCCCAAAAATTCTCCAAGATGACATAAGTTTCGTGGCTGATTTTGGGGTGTATCTCATTCCACCATGCTCCCCACAAGATGCACTCTACATAAAAGTCACTCACAAGAAGGTGAAGAACAACTTTGTAGTTGGGAGTTTATCTCAAAAGTGTCTAGAAAAAAAGTTGTAAATCACAAATCTTCCAACCACAATAATGGAGAAAAGCCACCGGAGGGAGAAGAGAAGAGGAGAGAGAAATAGGCTGACTTCATGACTTTGGTGTCTTTAATTCACTTAAGCCACTTAAAGTGGGTCCCACATGTCACTTAACTTTCTTAAATCATCCAATTAAATCCTTAAATTCATAACCTACGTATTTTTCTCGTTCACGTCATATTTTTACTTCCTAAAAATACTGATCATATTTTCGCGCTTATCAGTACAGTTATACCGCAGTATTTTACACTGGAAAAATCAGTATTCATCAAATTTTTCAAAACTTACTTATCCACTCGATTTTTGTTCTGAATCCATTTCCGGCATTATTTTTACCAATGAGACCTTCTACTCAATTTTTTTTGCCTAGGGTCACGTGTTTGGTAAATTACCATTTTGCCATTTTACGTATTTTGACCCTAATTTCAGGATTTTCACTAATCCTACCACTTTAATCCACATTTCACATATAATTATACATTTAGAAATACGATGTGTTATACCTGATCTCTCACCTAGAAAAAGATCTTTGACCCCAAGACTCGTCCCTATCCTTATTTCCTCTTTGTAATATTGCTTGTTGCTTTTTCTTTTTGAGTAAAGAAAAGAAAAACTATTAAATAAAATTAGAAAAATGAAACGGACAAATATTAGTGTTTACAACAGGTCTGACCTATTTAGGCCAAAATCAAGTCAAGCCTAGCTCATTTACACCCCTACTATTAGGGGTACAAATGGGTTAGGCCGGCCTACAGGGGCTTATGACCTAGCCTATATTAGGCTAGACTCAGTTTATTACATACAGTTAAATAGAACAGGGCAGACTTTAAAAAAACCTATTTAAAAAATAGGACATAGGCTTTCTTATATATCGGGCCTATAAGCCTACAGGGAGACCTATATAATATTATTTATTCTAAAAAATAAATAATATTATTATTTTAATGATTTTGAATAATAAAGTAAGGGAAAAATGTTTCTGCAGTTAATGCAGATAAGTTATCTGCATTTATTCCCAAAACGACGTCGTTTTGGTATTGAAATCTTAAAAAATTATAAGTATAAAGACTATTATAACCCTAAAATAAATTCAAATTACAAAAACACTGTGATTTCCGCCCCAAAACGACGTCGTATTGGGCTTACTGCAGATAACTTATCTGCAGTAACTGCAGAAAAAGTGAACCCATAAAGTAATATTATTTTTATTATTGATTGTTTAATAGGCTTAAACAAACTTAGGCTAAGGCTTTTAATTATTTTTATATAGGTCATACCGGACTCATAATTTAAGCCTACACATAGCTAACAAGCCAGGCTAGATCTGAAATACTTTATGCAGACCTAGCCTATTTAAGTCAAAATCTAACCTAACCTAGCCTATTTACACCTCTATCTACTACACTCCCATCGATTTCTGTATAGCTAAATTTTTATTTTATTATTTTTTATAAGTGAGTGTGTCTCACCCGTAATTTTTTTCTATGGTAGAAGAAAATTGTTTTCCTATAGCTTGATATATATATATATATAAAAGATCCTTTGACACTGGAATTTGACACTAAATCATAACCTTTGATTTCTGTCAATCAACGGTTATCATTTATTGGAAAGCAGACATATTAATTAATATTAATCCCAATAAATGATTACTGCTAATTGGCAAAAATCAACGGTTAGAATTTGATGTCAAATTTTAAAGTTTGACACTGGTATCAAAGGATCTTGTCCTATATATATATATATATATATATATATATATATATATATATATATATTTATATATATAGGGCATGATATTCTTACACCGGTGTAAGAGTTAAAAGTCTTACACTCAATCTTGACCATTGATCCACTTGTATCCAATGACTCACATTACTAAAAAATTAGAGCCCTTGGATATAAGTGAGATCAACAGATAAGATTGAGAGTGTAACTTACACTGGTGTAAAATGATCTTCACCCTATATATATATATATATATATATATATATATATAATTGCAAGAGCGTTGTACTGTGTTCACGAGAATTAGTCGTGAAATATTAAAAAAAAAAAAAAAAAAGAATTAGTCGTGAAAGAGAATAAATACGATCTAATAACAGATTAATTGGAAGAGCATTGCGCTGGGTTAACAAGAATTTTTTTTTTTTTTTGTATATCATGTGTTAACAAGAATTAGTCGCGAAAGAGAATAAATATGACCTAATAACAGATTAACATGAATAAGTCTATCTGACCCAACTGGAAATGACATTCTTAACCCAAAAAACACTGATGGCAATCTTTTATTATTGCATGAATAGATGAAAGTTCCAACTTAGACTATTTCACATTCAAAGCAGGACTTAAATAATCATCAATAAAGTAATAACTGCATGTTAATTATAAAATGTAAATTAAAAATTCTTTGTTTGTAAAAAGTAAGGGGCCCGCAAACTTTTATTATTATTCTTTTTTAGATTTTTCTGGTTAATTGATTAGTCCGTCGTTTTAAGTATGATTACAAAAGTGACAAAAATTCTCTTTCTATAAACTTTTAATTAATACAGTTATGTACCCAAGATTTAACCTTAATATTACTGATCAAGTTAGAATAAACTCGTATTAGTTAATCTGGTTAGGTGCACTTAAACTTTTTGAATTCTAGAATTTCGCTTTATCAAAATCAATGGCTCAAATTTCTCTAGATGGTAGGTCATAAGATGGATGAAATCATCTCCGCCTTTGATTTAAAAGTCGATCTTTTTATTCATTATAATGATATTAAATATTTATGAGTTTTATAAGAGTTATGTTGTAGGAAAAGTGATTATGTAATGTTATAGAGATTCGTTTTTTAGTTTTTTTTTTTTTTTGCTTTAAAAAGTGTGAACTCCGCAAAATGTTGTGTGTATAAGAAAATTTTTCGTGTCATGTTAAAGGACAAACAAAAATCCCAATATTTATAGTTATATCAATGAAACAGCTAATTATTAATTTAAAAAACTTTCAGGTCAAATGTCAAATACGCGTAAGATACAATACAAATTATGTTATAAACTTCTCTTTGTTATGTAATCTTATTCCTTCCTTCTTTCTTATGCTAATCTCTCTCTCTCCAAAGCCTATATATTTACTATCTATGAATAACATCTTCAGATTTTGTTACAGTTCTGTTAATTCATTACCAAAGAAAGAAAAGAAGATAGAAAGTGGTGATTCGATTATTGAGAGAGGAACAGAAGAAGAAGAGAGAGAGAAGAATAATATTATGGGGTTGAAATTGAAAGACACATTCTACATATCACATGGATCACCCTCTCTTGCCATAGATGATTCAATCCCTGCAAGGAAGTTCTTGAAGTCGTGGAAGGAGGTGTTTCCGACGAAACCCTCTGCCATCCTCATCATCTCCGGCCACTGGGACACCGATGTCCCCACCGTCAACGCTGTTGACGTCAACGAAACCATCTATGACTTCTATGGTTTCCCCAAATCTATGTACAAGGTTTGATCTTTCTCTCTCTCATGTTTCATGTTGGTCTTTCTTTGTTGCTTTTGCCAATTTTATTTTTTTTATTATTAATAATTATTTTTTTAATGATCTTGATTTAAAAAAAAAAATTGTAAAAAAAAAAATTATAAATACACCCTACCTTTATTTTTATTGTTATTGAGATCTTTTGTTTGAATATGCTTTGTTAGTTGGAAAAATAAAAAATATTTGAGTTAAACTGGTAGCAGAAATGTAAAATGATACTTAATGCAAAAAAATTTGTTTGGCTAATATCTTTGAATCTTTCAGCCTCTTGTGTTATTGGTACTTTTTTTAAGTAAAATTCCTTATTCCTTTAACTTTTTCTAATGGGCCACTATTGTTTTGAAAAAGGATGGATTTTGATGACTGTATAATTATTATTTTCGTATGTGCACTTTATTTGAATGTGTTTGGTGAAATTGATCATCAGCCAACTACTTGTTCACATGGCAAGCATTTTGTATTTCTTCTCCTTTTCATGTGTCCGTAACAACAAGCATTTTGTATTTCTTCTCCTTTTCATGTGTCCGTAACTCGCGTCAGTTAATGAGAAATATAATACATTATAATATAAATATTGAATTTGATGTTTCTCATGTTATTGTAGATAAAATTATCTCCTACAAATATAAAAATATATAGGACTAATGTGGGATCATGTGAAAAAAAAGAGAGGAAAAAAAAACATAAATTTCATATACTTTTATGTGTGTGTAGGAGATAAAATTATCTTCTACAATATAAGAGATAATAAACTCATAAATAATTAATAAAAACAAATATTTTAAATTATTTTATAAATTGATTTTTATGACAAAAGAAATGATATGATTATTGTTTTTTATTCATTAATTAATTATTAATTCTTAATGAATCACAGCTTAGATACACGAATATCAGCAATTAAGATAAGGAGTGAGATTTTTTATTCTTATATGAGGGTCAAAAAATTCCTCCATATTTATTAAATAAATTAAACATAAATAAATTGTGTGTACTTTTTTTGGGGGGGGAAAACTCACCAGGAAACTAATAAAAACTAAATACATGTTCTAATTTTTAAGTTTGCCTAAGTTAGGTATATGTAGCAAATGGTGTGAAATAAAAAATAAAATAGAAAAGGAAGTGTTGGTACTGGTAGGTATGAATAAGAAACAGTTTGATTTCTTCCTTTGCAGTTGTTTTCTTTTTATTTTCGTAATATGCATACCTGGTTGTTGACCGGAGGAGAAAAAAATGCTTAGCTTGTGGGAATTTTCATATTTTGGAAACAGTGTACTTAGAAGTTTCTTGCGTTCATTTCTGACTTTGACTTGCAAGTTGGCTTCATTTTTTTACGCCAACAAATGCCAACTGACCAAGTTTTCAATTGATTTGTCTACTTCAATTTTATATTAAGAAGCTGTTTTCACTTTTAACATTTTGATAACATGTAATTTAAGAAACTATATACAATTATATCGTACAGCATACTAGGTTCCACATTTCCACATATTTTTATGTGTATATGAAAGATAGTTTTATCTCCTACGATATAAAAAACTTTAAATCCATATATATATAAATGTGTGTCTTTAAGGATTCGACTTTGGGAAATAATCTATTTGTAAAAATATAAGGATAAATATGCATACAATCAAACCATTGCAAGTCGGGGAGTATAGCTCAAATAGTACCGCAAATACTTTAACTTGTATGTACCCTTTATTGGCAGCTCAAGTATCCAGCAGCAGGTGCTCCACACTTGGCCAAGAGGGTAAAGGAACTACTGACAGCTTCAGGGATCAGCCGTGTGAATGAAGATAGGAAACGTGGGCTTGACCATGGTGCTTGGGTGCCTCTCTTGTTGATGTACCCAGAAGCAGACATCCCAGTGTGTCAACTCTCTGTTTCATCCAACAGAGGTGGTACTTTTCACTACAACATGGGAAAGGCATTGGCCCCTCTTAAGGATGAAGGTGTTCTAATCATTGGGTCTGGTAGTGCCACCCATAATCTGAGAGAATTTGGACCTCGTGATAGCCCTCCTCCTCCATGGGCTGTGGCATTTATGTCATGGTTGAAAAGCTCTCTTCTTGATGGAAGGTATTCCTTTTGCTTTGTTCTCCTTGTTCATTTTAATACACACATTCATATGCATAGTCATGCTAAGCCACTAAAAAAGTTGCAAGTACTATCCACACGAATGCTTAAAACTTCTTGAGTTGATTGAAAAGACAGCATTCTTATGATCTTTTAATGCTAATTCATGGTTCTTGTAGATATGAGGAAGTGAATGATTACGAAGAGAAGGCCCCATATGCAAAAAAGGCTCATCCATGGCCAGATCACTTCTTCCCGTTGCATGTGGCAATGGGGGCTGCTGGACAAAACGCTAAGGCCGAAATTGTACACGATAGCTGGGATGGATGTGCTTTTTCTTATGCTTCTTTTGGTTTTAAGGCAGCCAGTTGATACAGCACTTTAACAACTTCTCTATACTGTTGTTTTAATATATTGTTAAATAAATTAAAATTACATGTACATTGTTAATATCAATGATTACATGTAAACTGCGTTTGTTTATTAATAAATCACTAGTACCAAAGTTGATGCCATACAAGCTGTTGATTCAAGGAGAAATGCTTGGTTCTTTTTCAAGTTCATAACACCCACTCCCCTCCCCCACCCCCAAGAAAAAAAAAATTATCTACGAGGACCTCTCCCATATTTTCCAGTAGTAAATAGTTGCGTTACTTATTATCCTGATTCATTTAATCAATATATGAAACAAAATGAAATGAAGAAAAAAAAATCCAATCCCAACAACAAAAGAACACGGTCAGATTTAATTAAAATCAATATAATTTTTGCAATTCTATTAATCATATTATACAGAGAGAAGAAAAAAATTGCAATACAAATATATTTTGTCTAAAGCATGCATCAAAATAAAGAACATAAAATAAAATAAAATAACAACTTTCTCAACCTTCAACAATTGCAAACAAAAATGTCGTACCCAAGCCTTCAAAACGCCTTAATTCTCCTTGTTATCTTTTGAATAAAAGGTTGCAGACTTTGACTCTTTGAGACAACCTTCTCCAAAGCAACTTGCGGATGGTGAAAAAGACGAGTAAAGAAAGAAAGGACAACAGGTTGAGAGAAACAAAAATCTTTACATTAGCCCATAGACAACATAATACAAATGCACAAGAGTTTACTTCTGACAATCAAGTAGAACATAGACAAGACTCCATAACAGAAACGGACAGGCAATGGATAATCACAATCCATACATTGTACTTCAGCGGCACAAAACCTTTGTGCAAGGTTGCAAGGATATTGCGGGGATCAATGCAGTTCAACAGATAATGCTAGTCTTTTGAGTATATAACCTAAAATTCTGTGTCAAAGCATGAAACCATGATCTTTGAAACCATGGACCTTGCAAAAGGGATGTAGCTCAAACTATACCTGTTAAAAAATATCAGAAAATAGAGGAAATATTAAAGCGTTACGCAGAAGTAGATACAAGCATGGGATCTCAGTTGGATAATCACATTGCATGCTCGAATACATATCATGCCATATGCTAGAGTAAAGATAAAAGATAACTCTAATCTGCTATCCATATATGTCTACACTAAGAATAATCATTATATATCCGTTTATTGTTATTGACATTATTTAATACACTTGAAGAAGACATATTCATGAAAAATATCAAATTATACAAATATTTAAGTATATATATCATTAATATTGAGATTTAGAAAAAAGTATTTTTATTCTTTTGTAAGTTTTTGATTAATAACAAAATTTGTATAGTCCAAACTATGGATTTAATCAATGCCAAAACCTTTTGGCACTATCATCCAATCATGCACTGCTAAATTGTTATGAAAAAATGACTATACTAACAACTACGTACCTAGGTAGGCGAACTCTTATAATAATGTGACAATAGATCAAATTAAACTCTTAAGCGTTAGTTTATCTTCAGTGTTTAAGTATACACAATTTACATCATACAATAAAACACAGGTGCAGTGGTAGCTCAGGCCTTGCATGAGTGGGTGCCACTTTGATCCTTAGTTTTGAACTTCTTATGCCTTATAATTGTAGGTCTTAGCAGAGATGTAGTGGCATCAGATTTTGCCATATCAGCCAAACAAAGGCCAGTTGAATCATGAAAACTGCAGCCATTCGCACAGTTCACCCATCTTGGAGCCAGTTTGTATGGTTTAATGCTAAAAGGTTACAAGGGTTGAGCTTCACCATCCCCACATCATAATTCCTGCTTCAAAACTCCTCCACTGAGCCAATCACAAATCTAGAACATTTGAAGTTTTCACTACCAGTTATGGTTGGTTCATTTCCAACTTCCCTCCTTCTGCCACTAGACATTTTGGTTGAATTTCTCCTTTTATCTATTTTCTCCCCCACCATCTGCATAGCCCCTATAATGGAAATTACAGAACACCCAAGCCATCTCAACTAAAAACATACATCTTTCCTAAATACGTTTTCAGTATCTATTTCTGCTTAAACTAAAAACAAGAATACTTATCATATGTCTACTATATCGCCTGAGAAATCCTACTACCACTATCACAAACCAACAAGTATGTGGCTAAACCAGTTGAAGATACTGTGGGACCTAACAAACTGAAATGGAAACAACATTCTATTTATTTCAAGGTGGTACCGCCAGACTGGCCATATAGCATTTTTCTTCAAGGAATATGTGCTGATTGAATTTATCTTATAATTCTCCCTACAATTGGCGTACTCCTCCTTATGCCTCGTTAGATTTATGAGAACCTAATGTGTCATATAGCACACTGAAGGAAATATAGAAGAAAGTTACAGGGAAGGCATTTGGAAAAATTATGACATACCAAATTAGAGCCCCAAACTCCAAAATAATTGCAAGAAGTGTCAGTAACTTGTTATGAACCTGCTCAGAGCAAAATAATGAGCTATCAAAAGAAAGAAAAACATTTTTTTTTTAAGTAAAAGGAAGCAAACACAGATGCACTTTGACTTACATAAAGTGCACAAAACAAGGCAATTATCATACTTGCAATGTATATGGCTGTTGCATAGATACGAACGGGATCAAGCATCATTGTCACTTGCCTTTTAGGACCTATGAGAAATGCTGTGCTGCCATAAAAAGGACTCCCACTTAGCATTTGAAGAAAACAGAACAGATATGACACCAAGTTTAAAAGATAAAAAAAAAAAAAATTCACTCCCCAATTAAACCCGACTAGCGAGTGTGGGGTGAGAGAAATCTTTGTACGTAGCCTTACTCTTGTAAATAATTGCAAAGAGGATATTTTCCAGATTTGAACCTGTGACCTTTCAGTCACAAAGGAACAATTTTACCACTGCTCCAGTTTTCCCTCTATTAAAAGATATTATACAAAAAATTAAGGCATCCGCAATTTCAACTTTAGATTATTTAGTCAACTTTAATTTAAAATGTTAAACTTCTATGAGTAAGATGAAATAATAACAAGTAACTAGAAAACAATTTATACAGCAAAAGACAGAAAGAGGGACATAATTTTTTTTTAATGATAGAGAGGTTTAATTGTTATATAACATAATTTAATCTTAAAGAAAGCACCTATGGAAAATTAATACTTCAATACCAGCAATCCCCATCACTGATCAATTAAGCTACTTAGCAACACAGCTTAATTGTTAGAGAAATATAATATAAAACCATTAATGTAGCCTTCACCTAAGAGGTTAATCTTTTGGGTTGAATTGATATTTTACATGGTATTAGAGCCTACATGACCAAATGGTCACGACTTTGATCCTCATTGCCTCTATTCTATTAATAAATAATTGAATATCATGGAATTTCTTAGCTCGAGTAGGTGGGCCTATACATTGTCCATCTTTTAAGTCTAGTGGGATCTTGTATGAGGATGCATGTTAAAGAAATATAATATAAAACCATTAATATAGCCTTCACCTAACAACTTAAGCTTTTAGGTTAAATTGGTGCTTTACATCAATTTCAAACCACAACCTTTAACTATACAAGGAAGACATCAAATAAATATAATATAATATAATACAGAGTGTTACACTATCTAGGGAAAGAAAGAAACAGAAAACAGAAGTCTAGAAGGAGATTATGAAAATCAGTCATGCTTATTTTTCATCTTGGCATCTTAAGAAAGTAGTTCTATAAGGTTGCTAAAATTTGTTTACTACGAAGTGGGAACCCACATTATATAACATCTATTTTATCAAAATGAACTCCTAATATTTGGTGACTTTCATCCATAAGAAGAGAAATTAAATCACGAAACATCTCTTAATTTTTAAGCACTGTGACAGATACCCTACTCTAATTAGAGCCTATGTGAGGAGAAACAAAGGGAGAGGTAGTGGATTAATGACCCACATGAGAAAGAGAGGTGAGGCAAAAGGGAGTTTGCATACGGGATTTTCTTGTATCTGCCTACACACATGACAGCAGGCGAGAGGAAGAAAGAGGAAGTTGTAAAGTCTGTTGGAGCATTAAAAACAGACAGAGGGGAATGGAAGAGGGAGGAAGGTGTAAAGTCTGCTATAGTGTTAAAAGCAGAGAGAGGAGGAAAGGTAGGCAAGGGAACAGTGCTAGTTGGGAGGAAGCTGGGCCCTCGAAGAGCTAGCCTGGTTACTGTAATGCTCCATTTATGTTTCTTTCTAATTTCAGTTTCTGTAATCTTTGAGTTAATTCCCAGTTTTCTGCAATATTTAATGAGTTTCTATCAATTAATTGTTACAAGTCAAGCCCATAAGGAGAGCCCAATCCAAAAATACTAGCCTATTCGGTGAGAGAGCCTTATGGCTTAAGTACCACAATGAGCTTCCTAATTTACTCAATGTGGCACATAACATTGCCACCCCACGGTGCCTTCACCCTTTAAGTGGTTTCATTTATCTATCAGTATTTCATAAGCACCCCCAACAGGATAGTACTACACCTTAATCCAGCCTACAGGTAGTCCTTCCTATAGCCCAACTCTTAATTAAAGCACCAATTATTACTACTCAAGCCTGTGAGTAGAACCCAACCCAAAAGACTAGTCTATAATGGGTTGGAAAGCCTTATTGCTTAAGTTCTACATTGAGCTTCCTTATTTTGATCAACGCAGGACATAACACATTGATTGATTGGACCAAAACTGATAGGAAAAAAGTGAAAATGAGAGCTCTTTCCCACAAAGATGAAAGTATCTCTTAATTCCTCCGTATTTCACCCTTAAGAAGCAATTGTGTAAAGATATAACATGAGAGGTTAACTACTGATATACAATAGAAAACATGTTGAATTCGTATCATAGTATATTGTCTCCTAAAATATCTTCATAGCATTAGTGCTGTGTATGGTGGCATAAGAAGTAAAGGAACATAATCCACCCCTCCCCCTTCCCCTCTGAAAAAAAAATCCATTTTCCATTGCTGACAACAGCAACATTCTTCTCAAAATATTTGTGAATTGAAAACCAGTGAATTAGAGACTATTTAAATTTATCCTCATTTCTAATACATTAAATTGCAAAGCACAAGGAAGTAAAATAATCAGACGGCACCATAGTGTAATTATACAGCTGTAAAACAGTACATACCTTCCAAGTGATAGCAAATTGCCAAGAGTGAATGTTATCCCAAACTTGATTGGTTTCAAGAAAACAAGCATAGACTGTAAAATTTGGGGGAGAGGGGGCAGAGGTGGCATTAATTAGTGCCTATTCATGTCTGCCAATATAAATTAAAAAGCTAATATCATACATAAAAGTTGAAAGAATAACATTTGTAAATCAAGTTTTCAGAGAAGCAGTGAAATGAATCCTATTCCCATCAAATTTACATGACAAAGTTGAGAAATCATTATGATTTTTGTTCACTATCCTCATACAGTAGATGCAATTTGTATTCCATATATTCTATTCTAACTGTCAATTTGAGTAACGAATTCCAAAAGTACAGGAGTTTATTGTTTATGGTCTATAACTATAAGGAGAATTCCGTGGCACCACTACCTAGTTTGTAGATTGATAATTGTTTGGATAATTTTTAAACATATTACAATGTATAATCTAATGGTTAATAGCATAAGAAGTAATGTGATAAAAGGAACCATTGAAACCTCCTTATTATAAATTATGATTTCAGTGTCCAATATCAATCAACATCAACATCACCTTTATCCCAAACTAGCCGAGGTCAACAATCAATGAACTCAAAATAAAAAACCAGAAAAGATTGAGGGAAAAGAAAAATAAATAAGAGAGAAGAAATAAATAAATAAAGTATCCAACATCAATGTAAATATAAAATATTTATTGGACTAAGTGATCATAATTGAAGGGTGAGACTAGGCACAACGGTAAGGTTGTTGCCTTGTGTTGTGACTTTGGTTATCACGGGTTATATAGTCATAGAAATATCCTCTCCACTCATGGGCTAAGGGTGCGTACATCTGACTCTCCCCATATAAACTTTGAATGTGAACTTAAACAACATATTGGAAAATTGATAATAGTTTGCATCTAACTTCTACAAAATGATATGCTTTGCAAATTGAGTTTGTGACAATCATGTTAACATGCAGGAAGTAAAACTAACATGATAACAACCTTAATTGCATGAACATAAAAGAAGAAAGAAAACATGAGCGTATAAGTTGCTTTTTACAAAACAAAATTATACAGTCTTTACTGTATATTTAGCATGAAGTTTAGTATGTTACCAAGCACTCAAGAAAATTAGAACAAAAATTAAAAACAATTCAAGTAGTCAAAAGCTTGAAGGTGCTCATGTGTGGCAATAGATTCAAGCATGAGATTTATATTCCAAATTGAACCAAAGAACTAGTATATAAATCTAAACTAGAGAGAATAATCATGATATCAAACTCACCAATAGTGTAAAAGTTAATCCCGCAGAAAAGCATATGGCAAAACCATAAAGTCTCTGGTCACACAGGCAAAGAGCTCATTAGTTAAACTGTGAAAGACAATTTACAAATAGAAACTCGTTGGAATCAAACGAACATGTAAGTATGACAGATGTTTGTGCAAGGAAACTTGAGGTGGTTGACGTACAATTCAGTTAAAAAATCCAAAGTATAGGAGCAGGTAGCAACAACAAAAGACAAGAAAAATATAATCTAAAAACAGCCTAATGGCATGAATCATAAGAGTTAAACAACTACTTTAGTGGGTTTTATGTGAAACCTTCAAGAAAAACTGATATTTCAGGCCTTTTCCATATTTCGTAAGTGCTAACAAGCCAACCTCCATTCCCCAGCAATAACAAGTAACTTGAATGAAAAGAAAAGAAAAAAACTGTTTGTTTTGGTTCGATTCTGTAAATTCCTAAAACCAATCTAACACCAGCATTAAGTTCTGGGTCCTCCGAACAACAAAAATTATCATCCTCCAAAACCATTAGTTTTTGAAACAGCAGATATTATAATACATTTGAAATTACACATTCAATGTGTTGAGACCTTATTCTCAGGAACATCAAAACATGATCCTTCAATAGACTGCTTGTCGCCACTCAGTAACCAAGTCATATCTAAAAGCACATATGATCCTAAGAAATTATGCAATGCCGTTCTTATATAAATTTATTCTATTCGTTTTAACGGATATCTATTGCTCTGCTGAATTCAATCCATCAATACAGTTCATAAAACAAAATATACTCCAGCCATGCAGTTCATTTCATCTTGCAACAAACATTTCCTTGATTTCACCATTTTATGATTGATTTGGTGAAAAATTTAATATTTCTCTGCAATCCGCCAGTGAATCATTTTCATTTACCACATGAAGGCCACCATAAGTTGTCTCCAACAATACAAAAAAAATCTACAATGAACATTTCTATAAGAAAGATAATCTCTATATTTTCTCTTCATTTAATTTCTCAATCCCATATCATCCGCGGAGGAAAATATTGAAATACCTCCTCACTGCATGAGCAATTGATTTCTAAAAACATAAAAAATAAAATAAAAATGTGATGACCACTGACCATGCAACTCTCTACAGTTTCTGATTTAAAAAAGTAAAAACAAATCAAAATATCAAAAACATCCGAACTTTGAAAATAACAAAAACGGAGAATCAAATGTGACGAGATTGCAAAGTCAAAGACCACAACTGAGGTGCAGATCCATGTTCAAAACCAAGCATATCAATTTTCCCTATTGAATCAGCTCAATTCACTCAAATTTTCTTTTCCTTTCTCAGTTCATTTCTATGTTATTTGTTTATTTATTCTTTTCTTTTCTTTTCTCGGACACCAAACAAGCAACAAGGATCGAATTTAGAGCAGAAACGGAAAGAAGGAGAAAACCTGTGTGGTAGACAAGGTGCAGTTGCGGTTGAAATCGTCCATGAAGGCGAAGGAGCTTGCGTTGTTGTTGTCTTCCAATGCGGAAGCTTGTTGCTCTTCGTCTTCGACTTCCAATCCAACCATCGTCTTCACTTTCATGAAGGCTCTGTTCATCTTTTCCATCGCTTTCTCGCACTTTCTCGGGAAAATGGAAAAACCTGCGGATCTGTGGTTGTACTAACAGTAACTAACAACTAAATAAACTTGCTTCGATTTTCAGAAATTGCGTTTGGAATTTCGATAGAGATACCACAACGACTACACTTTACTGAAACCAAGCTCATGGAGGAGCTCTCTCTCTCTCTCTCTCTCTCTCTCTCTCTCTTCGTTTTTTCTGTTGATTGAGTTGGGCTTAAAATTAGGCCCATAGTTATGAGGCCCACCTGTTGTCAATAGCCCATTAGTGAAGTCATAGGAATGGATGTATTATGTTAAAATCTATCAATTAAAGCGAAAATTTTATATTTGATTTTTTGGGATTAGTGTTTGTTCTTTTAAAGAACATAAAATTATGTTATTTTAGTCAAAATTATAATATTTTATGGTGAGAAAAACAATTACACAATAAGAATCATAATAAAATAAAATGTGAGGTTTTTTAATTTAAATATTAAATAAAAAATAATCATTTTAACTAAAATGACTGTCCTTTAAAAGGATAAATATTAAGTAGATGAGTTATTGTTAAAGTTTTTGAATATTTATAAAGACAGTGAAAAATATCAAATTTTTAAGTGACTTTAATTTTTAATATGAGGATGCATTTCGAAAATGAGGAAACGTTATATTGAAAATAAAATAAAGAGTAAAGTACATTTTGGATTCTCAGCAAAAATTACGGGATCCATTTTAATTCATTAGAAGAAAAAAATCGACTTTGATTTCTTTTAAATTCAAAATAGATCCATGTTAGTTCTTTTGAAAAGAACTAACGTGAGTCTTATTTGGATTTTAGAGGGACCACAATTTTAACTAACTGGATCTATTTTGAATTTCAGAGGGATTATAAGTCGTCTTTTCTTTTTTAAGAGATTAAAATGGGCCCCGTAATTTTTGTTGAGGACCCATAAAGTATTTCACTCTAAAATAAAATTAAAATTACGCGTATAAAATAAAATAAAATAAAATTGGCATAATTCAGGTAAATTTTATAAAGATTCAAGTGTGGGAATTGAATAAGTTAAGATATTGGGGACAATTCAGTTATTCAAAAGTCGCTAATATTGCCAGTTTATTTTGGCAATAATTCTAAAAAAATAAAATAAAATTGGTTGTTTAGTATTTTCTTTTACAAAAGATCTTTTGAAAGATAATTCCAAGTAACTAGTTTTGAAAATTACAATGTGTTCTTTAACAAAACATTTTTTTTTTTTAATTTGAGCTCAGAATGACGTTAGATCGACTAGAATATATATATATATATATATATATATATATATATATATATATATATATATATATTTTTTTTTTTTTTTTTTTTTTGGCTCTAAGTTTGAACACTTTAATTTGATGGGTAATGCCTCACATTCTGGTTGATACTGTTTTTGCTTTGTATATGTACAAGTAAGAATAAATTGAGCCTTAACATTGCATATAAGCTTAATTAAGTTTGATAATGTTGGAATATTTAACTATGTTAATCTCATATTGGTTGGTAATAGGTTAAGTGGAGTTCATATAAGTGGAAGGATTTATGAACTTAATGCCTTAAGATTTTGGATTAAGACATGGTGTCGAACTCACTTGATATGGTAGGCTAGCCTTAACCCATTGGTGGTGGTCTCCTATGCTAAGTTTTACACTTGAGGGGGAGATTGTTGAAATATTTATGTGTGATGAATCTTACATTGATTGATAATGAGCTAAGTGAAATTCATATAAGTGAAAAGATCCATGACCTCAATACCTTAAGGTTTTAGGTTGATTCATGGTGTCGGACCCACTTGATATGGTGGTGTAGCTTTAACCCATTGGTGGTGGTCTCTCGTCACGGGCTTTCCTTAGACCTGTCTGACCAAATCGTGAAACCCTAATCTGTCACAGAAATCCCGGTCACAAAACCAAAGCTCTTGATTCTAAATGTTAGAAATCGACACGCACAAATCGAGAAAAACTCTGTCAATAAAGACCCTCGTCAGTATACGAAATATGAGTCATATCCTATGATGCACGGACACGGGACACGGGACACGGGACACGACACGACACGACACGCCGACACGTTAATTCTAAAAAATGTCATATTTGGACACGTTGGAACACGTTTTGATATTAAATAAATTTTTTAATATATATAATATGATTTATATTTAATACATATAAGAGTTCATAATAAGTCATATAACCAATTAAATATTTAAATTTTATATCATAAATATAAATATAAATAATTTTTTGTAGTTTGTTAATTTTTAATGTCAAATTTTATAACAGAAAAAATTAATTTATGAATTATTTCTTTTATATTTAGTTAACAAAAAAAATTAAGATTTAAAAAAATAAAAAAATGTGTCCGAGTGTGTCCCCAAATGTTGACCGCGTGTCCCCAAATATTGACCGCGTGTCAGAACGTGTCGGAGAGTTGACCGCGTGTCCTCAAATGTTGACCGCGTATCGAACGCGTGTCCGAGCATGTCGGAGCGTGTCCGTGTCGGACACGTGTCCGACACGTAAATTTCAAAAAAAAAAAAAGCGTGTCCGTGTAACGGAGGTCATATCAAATAAAAAATAGTTTGCAAACTCTTCTTTATATACACATTATTAATTAGTTGGTCAGCTAAATGTAAGTGAAGATAAAATTTGATATACTAGTAACTAATTAAATAAATATTTGAACTTAAGGCGTTGTCTTTTGAATAACTTTCTTAGACATTAACGGTATAAAATATCTTTATCTTTAATTTTATCTATCAAGAAATTAACATGTATAACAAAATACCAATAATAGTTGCATACAAGATTTTATAAAAAAAAAAATTTATTTCTCTTGGAAAATTAATTCAATTATTTTCTCTAACTCCCTCACTCCAAAAAAGCTCTAACTTGAGCTTTCTCTCTAAACTAAAACTCTTTCTTTAAAGCATTTGTTGTGTTTTTCTTAATATATTTAGAATTTGCGCAAGCACTATTTTCATCAAGTTAATACCAATCGTAGTAACAATCTTTTTTCATGTGAAAAACAAGTGACTTTTTTTTAGTACAAGTACTCATCGGTGATTCCACAAAGTTTGACTCTTTGAACCTTTTATGAACTAATATGATGTTGGGGAAAAATAGAAGTTAAGAGATTTTCCTCCCAACAAATGTGCTTCCCAGATTCGACCTTAAGCTGCTACCGTTCGGCCAAAACTTTGTTGATAAAATAAGTGAATTACAATGTGTGAATCCACCATGTGTAAAATCTAATGGTCCACCTTAAAAACCAAGTCAATAATCAGCACATACAGTTTATAAATTTAATAATAAATTCCCTTAACTGCAAGTCACGTTAGTCACGCAAGGATTAGTAAAAATTTATTCCCAAACTTCATAGTTTGTATTCACCATTCTCTTTCTAACTTTTTGCAAGAAGAAAAATATTATTAATAAATGTAAACATATCGAATGGAAACAATTATTTTGAGCAAAAAATACACATTTTCTATATAATATATATAGATCATGTGCTTTCAACAAATTAAATGGCAATCTTTTTGAGTTTCCTAAAACAAATGTAACAACACATCTCCCACTCCATACAATATGACAAACCAATAATTCAGTTTATTTTACGGCAATTTTCTCGTATTTCCCCATTGGAACCTTCTTTGACATCGAGCATGCTCATCTTCACCATTGCTTGTTGGAAATCTAAGAAAAACAAGGCTTGATTCATAGCATAAGAGTTCACAATGTTCCTCGTCTTTGGGATAGTGTACAGTGTTTGGTCTGATGTAAGAACCCCTTTGTTTGTGACCAAAGTTTTGAAGTATAAATTATCAAAATCATTCCTTGTGGTGTCAAAGGACAGCTCAGCAGTGTCTCCAGCATTGCATATTTTGGACAGTGTCTTTGCAAATTCTGAGTCCAAAGTTGGATCCACTTGGGTCAGCCTATTCTTGAAAGAAACACACTTTGACACTCCTAATGTGTGAGCTCCTGCAAAATAAAAAATTTCCCAAACTCAAACTAAATAGCTAGCTCTAATTTTGATTATTTTCAAACATGTGTGACAATAAATGGCATAACTAGAAAGTTTTGTGATCAGATCAAGGACTAGGAAAGCAAAATTTACACTAACATAAGCCGGGCAACATGATAGTGGGTCAATACATAGTCACTTTTGAAGAACTTTTCAAGTTTTCTTCATGAGATTTGTTATTTTTATGTTACATAAGATAGAATCTATCTCCTACACACATAAATTCATAAATTTAAGATGGGTCCCACTCTATTTTTTTCTCTCCCCTCTTGAAAGTAGACCCCACCTACACAAATGAATTTGTAGGAGATAATACTTATCTCCTGTCACATAAGAAAACTATTACCCTTTGTTCATATACGAGAAATAAAGGGAGGCGAATTTTTGCTACAGTGCCTTCTTTTTTTTTAAGTCTTAATATAATTTTAAAATTGAGATTAAATGAAATTAAGAAGGGTTATCGTGAAAATTTCTTCTGTACTTCTCTTTTTCAAAAAGAAAACGTTTTCTTCCCATTTAATTCATATCTTTCTAAGTATTTTTCATCAAATCTCAAATTTTAACTTTTTTGGGACAGATATATCTTTCTTCGGTAATCGCCCCTTCGAACCCTTCTTAACTCTACAAAAGTACATATATGAATAGGAAAATGATCCGTTTACAAAAAAATTTGACAAATTTTTACAAATTACACTATTTTCTTCCGGGAGAACATAGTGAAACGTAGTATTCTCCCGAGAGAAAATAATATAGTTTGTAAGAATTTGTAAACAAAAAAGTTTGTAAATATAACCCCAGCATATATGAATATCATTTCTTCTATTTGAAAGTAAACGAAGTATTTTGTCACATATGTATCTCGAATATATAGATATGTTAGTGGGAGGTGATGAATTTCTTCCATTTATTACTTTATATACACTCCAACTTTTTTTCTTCCACTCATTTATGTTTCTGTCTTCTTCATCTGTGAAACAATCATTCCTCTAACCATAAACCATTTTCTCAAACTTTAGTTAGTGCTTACAATAGTTAAAAATAGTTATGAGTCTCTTAATTTAAATGATTCAGAACATAATAAAAATAGCAAAAATACTTAGACATATTATTACCAGAGAGAGCCACCATCTCTTTGGCAGAAAATCCATGTTCACCAAACATTTTGATTAACTCAGAAACATTGAAGGTGGGGGGTGGCAGATTATGAGTATCCTCAATTTTGGACCTTGTTCCATCCTTCCTTCCTTTTGGTATGTCATACACTGGACCCCCAGCCTACTCATGTCACGGATATATAATAATATTAGGAAAAAAATGAAACTTCAAATTTAGAGATATAATATAAAATCATTAATATATCTTCACTTAATAACTTAAGTTTGTAATAAAGTTATTTCATGACATAGTATCAGAAACTCTATAACCAAATAATTTAGGGTTTAAATTGTTTGGAGACTTGGTTCGCAATAAATTAAGATAATTTCATATTATGCCAAAAAATGGAAAATCATGTGCACAATAAGAAAACGTGTAGTAGCTTAATCTTACAAAGAAAACTGCATCTCTAGCAGCCATTGCAAGAATATCAGCGCATGAAACCACTCCAGGGCATTTTTTTTCTAGCTCTTCTTTGATGTCATCTATGACTTGGTAGCCTCTCAAGCTCAAATTTACAGGTGAATCCTTTTCTGCTGTGTTATTCTTAGTGGAGTCAATCAGAACTGACCCATCACATCCCTAGTAGACAAAAATAAATCATTTGAATTGCCATATATATGAAATAATAATTATCATATGCAATTTATAATGTAGAAAATGGATGCAACTAAATGAGTTTGTCCTTGAAAGACAAGCATGACATCTTCTAGCTAGTAACTTAGTATTAAATAATCAGGAATTACAAATAAAAGATACATTTTAATCTACATATTTGTTAATTTACAAATAAATGACCATTTTAATTGTTGACATTGATTCATAGGTCAATGATCAAGAATTTTCACATGAAGTGTTATGTTAAAATGAAATATGAGAGGATTTATTCTCCCGTTACACTACTTCATCCATATGTGTGTTAATGTGAGTGAATGACTATTTGTGTCCTATAAAGGAGAAATTTTGGTGCACAAGACTCCCCGACTTGAGAGAACAAAAGTGAAAATCAATTGTATGCAATCTTATTCTTATATTTTATAAAGAGATTATTTCCCAGACTCGAGCATGTGACCTTTCGATCACAAACAATAACCTTAAAGCTGGTTCAAGACTCATCATCTTGTATATAGAGAAAATTGGGGGGAGGAAGAGAAGTGACCTGTAAGAAACAGTCATGGAAATGCAATCTAACAAGAGCAGCTGCTAGGGTGGGATCATATTGCAGGGCTCTGCTGACTTTGTTCCTAACAACAGGTTCAACAACAGGGCAGCTCAACAAGTAGTAATTCATGTTCAAGGCTTCTACTCCCAATCTGAAACCACTCACTATCATCACTTCCATCACAATAAACAATGTTAGCAAATTAACCATATTATTGAGACAATATCTTAATTCAAAGACTTGAAAGATGTTTTGCACAGCACCTTGAAGAAACTACATGTATTTATATATGCAGCATGTAGTGAGAGAATTGACTAAGTTTGTAACGAGGTCAAAGAATAAAGGTCTTTACTAAGTTGGGAATAGCTGGCAGGCGGGGAACTGCAATCGGTACATTGTGCTGAATATAAGGTCCCTTTCATTCAAGTATTGCAGAAAAAACATTTAACAATTGTACAAAAAGAAACTCCACGGAATCACAAAGTACTTATAAATTTTTATTTATAAGTATCACTCCTTCATTATCCCAATAACACCATAAATCTCTAATTTTTTGTTACAAAATCTTATCCTAAGTACCAAAAAAAGAAAGAAAAAATTCATGAATATTACAAACTTTTTTAGCTATGTTCATTAGTCATCAAATAGCTATAACAAATTTTTTGTGTAACTCAACTACTTATGTAATATTCCTCAATATACATAAAGCATTGATATTTTTCTTCTTCTTTTTTTTTTTTGGTAAAAATGGAGGGCCTAGCCCAGAGAAATTATATTGAGAGCTGATGCATGTTAAAAGAAACATGCTCCATCAGCAAAAAACTACAAAAGTCTTTCCAAAAAGGAAAAGTGCTTGCAGGAGGAGAGGAATACAATTTCAACTCTCCACTCCTACAATAGAAACCTAAGTGAGCAAGACTATCAGCACAACTATTCAACTCTCTAGGGACAAAATCAAAATGAACATATTCAAAAGCATGCACCATATTCCTAATTTTCCTGGTAAAAGTAGAGCAGCTATTCGAATCCTCTAGGGAGTTAATGCATAGGAGGGCTTCTTTGCTATCACACCCAATCCATACTTTCTGAATCTTCAAATCCAAAGCTAATTGGAGACCTTGCCAAATTCCCAATAATTCAGCCTCCATAACTGAACTAGTACCAATATTATATGAAAAACCAGTTAGCCAAACACCACTTGGGTTACATAAGAATCCTCCACAAGTTCCTGCATTGGTGTGCATATTAACAGCCCCATCAACTAGCATTTTAACAGCCTGTTGCTGATCTTTGTTATTGCATCCAACAAAAGATATGGGAGATGTTTGGATTTGGAGAAAAGGATCACTACTACTATTCATTTTCATATCTCTTAAGTACCTCAGAATCAAGCTGATAGGATCTACAGGCCATGTGAACAACTCATCGTGGACCACACGGTTCCTCCATTGCCAAAGCCACCAACAAGAAACAAAGAAGAATTCCTTCCAAGAATGCCACATATTGGATGAAAATGATCCACAAATATTGAACTTAAACCAGTCAAAATTGTCAACTGACAAGAAGGAAACTGGAATATTACCTCCAAACCAGCCTTCCCACACAGTCCTTGCTTTTCTGCAATCACGGAGGACATGCATCAATGATTCTTGTTCAGCTAGACAGATTGGGCAAAGGACCTCTCCACCACTCCAATGACAAGTAATGGTTCTAATAGGTAGCTTATTGAGACAAGCTAACCATATAAAAATAGCTATTCTATATGGACCTTTCCATTTCCAAATGCTTAACCAGAATTTGTCTTTCTCCAAATTAGATTCAGCTAATTGACAGTAAGCATTTCTAACCATGGATCTGCTAGAACTATTCCTTAACCAGCATAGTCTATCACTCGGATCATTGGGCATAGGGGGCACTATGCTGTGAAATATCCCAAGAATTGTTTCATCAAGATAAGTCTTCAAATAATCCCATTTCCAGGCACCTGTTACAGGATCAGTCATATCACAGATCCTCAGTTCCAGGTCAAAATCAGGAGGCTTCACCAAAGCAAGGTCAAATAAACTATGCTTCCAATTACACCAACAATCCAACCAAAACAGAGCTGTTTTTCCATTTCCCACCTCCCAGGTCAAGTGAGGATTCAGCTTTGTTCTAGCTAGGCAGATGTTCTTCCATAAAGAAGAATCACTCTTTTTTGCAATAAAGCCTCTTTTGGGGTCAAGATTTCTACCATACTTACCAAGGAGGACTTTGGCCCAGAGACTATCTTGCTCATTAATAATCATCCAGGATATCTTTTGCATGAAGGCTTTATTTTGGATCTGAAGCTTAATAAAACCAAGACCACCACAATCCTTAGGCTTACACAATTGATCCCATGCAACATAATGTGCCTTTCTTTTTTCATCTGAATCTCCCCAAATGAACTGGCGTTGTAATTTCTCAATATCCTGACAACATGTATTGGAAGAGCATTATTCTGCATGTGATATAGTGGGATGGCTGAAATGACACTCTTTGCCAAAGTAATTCTCCCAGCCATGGACAAGGACTTGGATTTCCACCCCTGGAGCCTATTTTGCACTCGAGATATGACATTAGCATAGTGATTTCTCCCTATCCTTCCATGTCTCATTAAAGCTCCCAAATAACAGCCTATATTCCTGACCACCCTAAAGCCACTGACACTTGAGATAGTGTTCATAGTTTCCTGAGGAGTATTCCTGGAAAAATAAATGCAAGATTTATCCAAGCTCACACACTGCCCTGACATTCTGGAGAACTTAGCAAGACAATCAGTAATACACTCCAGCTGATTAAGGGAAGCTTCAGCAAACAAGATGATGTCATCTGCAAACATTAAATGAGGAATCTGGGGCCCTGCTCTGCCAGCTTTGATTGGATGCCAATTCTTGCTCTCAACTTCATCCATAATCAAGTGTGACAGCTTTTCTATGCAAAGAACAAATAAGTAAGGGGATAATGGATCCCCTTGTCTTATTCCCCTTTGAGGCTGGAATCCTGGAGTTCTGGCCCCATTCCATAGTACCTCAATAAAAGGACTGGTAACACAGCCCATAATCACATCAATCAAATCACCAGGTAACTTCACTTCTTCAAGAACAAATTTAATAAAACTCCAATTGAGTTTATCATATGCCTTCTCCAAATCTATCTTAATGGAAAAAAAACTCTTCCTCCCTTTAATTCTATGCATAGAATGAATGAGTTCTTGGACAATGATGATGTTGTCTTGTATATTCCTCTTAGGGATGAAACTGACCTGATTAGGAGCGATAAGGTTCCCTATCAAGGGCTTAATCTTGTTAACAAGGATTTTGCTAAGACCTTTATAAACTGTATTACAAAGTGCAATGGGTCTGAACTGCTTCATGAAGCAAGGTCTGTCAACCTTAGGAATCAAAGTAAGAAGAGTATGATTGATCTTTTTGATTTGATCTGGTTTGCTGCAGTACCACTTCATACTATTAAGGACTTGATCCTTAATCAACTCCCAATTTCTATGGAAGAAAAGAGCTGGGAATCCATCCGGTCCTGGAGTCTTCAGAGCTGGCATTTGAAAGAATGCCTTTCTGACTTCCTCCAAAGAGATATCCAAAGACAGAAACTTTCTATCTTCCTCACTGATGCTAGGCCAGGAATAAGCAGTATAACTTCATACTGGTTCCAGAAGTTCTTTTTTGAAAAGATTGGAATAAAAATTCCTAGCAAGATCAATAAGTTCTTCTTCTCTAGAAACCCAGCCACCTTCATTATTCTGCAACTTTAGAATTTTGTTTCTTTTCCTCCGGATCAAGGTGCTAGTGTGGTAAAACCTGGTATTTCGGTCTCCACCTTTAATCCAATCACCCCTTGATTTCTGATACCAGATCTGCTCCTCATGATCTAGGATTTCAGATAAATCTTTGGTTAACTTGGCCTCCAAGTCCTCCAAGTGAGAGCTGTTATGAGAGGACATCTTCCTTTGAATTCCCTCTAACCGAGCAATCACCCTATTTTTTCTGAACAAGGTAAAGCCAAAGACTTCCTTATTCCATTCCTTAACCACATGAATAAAAGAAGTTAAGCTATCTATCAGATTAGAGCCAGAGTCCCAATTATCTTTAAGAAAAGCATTGAACCTAGCATCATTCTGCCAAACAGCCATGAATCTGAAGGGTCTTTCCCTCCAAACAGAATCCCCCTTTTCCATGCGAACCAAAACAGGACAGTGGTCAGAAAACAACCTTGGGAGATTAAGAACATCTGCATCTTCAAAACAGGTTCTCCAAAGATCATTTGCTACTGCTCTATCAAGTCTTTTATACAATATTTCCAAGTGAAGGAACTTAGGCCCCTTCCAAGTAAATCTATTACCTCCACCACTCAGATCCATAACCCCACAAGCATCCAACACACCACTAAACAGGTTACATCTATTAACATCTACTGGACCTCCTCCCTTCTTCTCAGAAATAGAAGCTATTTCGTTGAAGTCTCCTGACATCATCCATGGATTATTCATAGTTCTCCCAATGTGTTTAAGCTCTTCCCACAACACTTTTCTACTCTCCTCTTGAGGACTAGCATAAACTGCTGTCCAATAAAAGCCTTCTTTACCAGGGAATTCAACCCAAACATGAATAAATGATCATGTTTCTTAATAAGAGTAATATTTACATCAGAGGAATCCCACACAACCCATATACCACCAGAATAGCCATGAGCATCTGCAATAATGTGGTTGGTAAAACCCAAACTCCTAATAATACTTATAGCTTTAGACCCACTAACTCTCGGCTCCAAAATGGCAGCAACACCCACCCCATACTTCCTTCGAAACCTGCTGAAGGTGCTCTTAAATTGCTTCTTGGCAGCACCTCTGCAGTTCCAAGACATCACATTCATAGAGAAAGTTGGGGCTGTTGCAAGATTACAAAGTTCTTGCAACTTGATTCTTGACTCACATCATGAGCTTCCTGGATAACAACCTCTCCTTCCTCACACACCCGATCACCCACAGCAAGCATGGGTGTAGCCCGAGTTGTAACAAAAGTCTGATCCAAATCCATACCTAATGCAACACCATCACTCTTAACATTCTCCCCCATGGAAAAGTCAAGGGATATTGAGTCCTTCAGACACTTCCCATCACTCTGATTATTCATCTGCTGATCACTCACAGAAATCTCTAGCATAACCTCTGCAGAAGAGGATTCAGCCTCCATCATCAAGTCACCCCAGGATTTACTCTTGCTTTGGTCATGATTAACCAGAACATTTGTCAAAACAGGCTCCTGAGTGAAATTATAACTGACAGAATTCTGTTTAGCAACAGAACAGGATTGAACCCCTTTCCCTTTAGCTACTAGATTCCTAGCAGCATTCTTCTTAGCAATAACATTCCCCTGTTTGCTACCAGCTGTCTTCTTAACAATGCTCGAAGCTTTAGCTGAAAAATTCAATAACCCCTCATTGGTCTGCATTTTAGTACCCATAACCATATTTTCCTTATTCACCAGCTTACTAACTACATTCCCCTCTGATTTATTATCAGATACTTTTTTCCAAGTACTACCTCCACACTGGCACCAGGTTGAGTCCCCAAGCCCTGATTTAGAGAGCTACTATCCGTAGAAACATTTTCCTTGTGGACCAAAGGGCCATTCAAATTCTCTACAAGAGCTAGGACATGAACTTCCTTATGACTACCAGCATTCCCAGCACCTTTCTTTCTATTAGAGATATCTTCTCCAAAAGCTCTACTAGAACTAGTTTCTTTCTTCTGTGATCCTTGAGCACCTTTCTTTCTGCGTTGGACTATAGTCCAGGGTCCAATGCCATGGGGTCCAGGTTGAGCTACTGGGTGATCTGGAGCCTTAGCAGGTGTAGCCATAGGAGCTGGTTTGACAAAGTCAGGACATGATTCAGAATTATGTCCATAGCGTCCACACTTCAAACAGATGAGAAACAAGCCCTCATATTCAACTCTCTTAATACAGCCATCCAAGATATACTCCCCACGAAGAGGTTTGGATAAATCAATTTCAATACATACCCTTGCAAACCTAGCCCTGTCCCCAGTAGACGTAGTCCTATCCACTTTCAACACTTTTCCAATCACAGCCCCTAATTGACTAAGGAAAGGGAATTCACAATATTCTTGAGGTACTCCTGGGAGACGAACCCAGGCAGCTACCTTATGTATATTAGCCCTTTTCTGGGTCAAAACAGGGCTCCCATTTACGGGTAGCAAGATAATGACCCAAAATGATCCAAGGCCCTCCAGTAATAGCCAAATTTAAATCCTCCAAACAGCTGAAACGTACAGAAAAAAATTCATTACCTAAATCAGCTACTGTGATGCTCCCAGTTCTCGCCCAAAGCGTCTCCAGCTTCTTCTTCATGAATCCCACACCAATTTTCTTCCCCAAAAGCTTTACAATCAAGGCATTTTTCCAACATTGCCTCATTCTGGTTCGAGCCTCCTTGTTACTCCTGATCTCCACAGTTCCATCTTCCCTGAAGATAGTTTGAAAGCCTCATTCTGAGATCTCACCAAGACTCGGGTCAAGAGGCTCCGGATCGGGTTCCTCTTCTTCGGTCAGCCATGGAATGGTCTCGCCCGAGACACCATTCTCCATCCCTATAACATCAGCAAACGTTCGCTGTTTCTCATGAACAGCATCGCTAGCTTGAAACTCTCTGATCACATTTCTCATACGAGCCTCCGTCGAAACTTCAACACCGCTTTTGGTTCGCTTTGTACTCTTTCTAAGCATAGTCAACAACTCCGAGCTACTCTCCATCGGATCCCCCATCGCACCAGCAAAACGGAAATCAGCAAGAAAAGAAACCCTATCAGAACAGAAAATTTCGCGCGCGTGTAGCAACGCGCCTAACCCATTAGAGTGGGGTTATTTTTCTTTCTTTGATATTTTTCTTTCCTAACATCTTGGACTAGTTTTTTTTTTTTGGTAAAATTTCTTGGACTAGTTAATTCATAATGTACTATTATATTCAATGATCACTAAATAATTTGAAGTTTAATTCTTATTCATTGTTATTCTTTTAATAAAAATTTTAATTTCAGCACAAGATATATAAATGCAGATATATATACAAACATATTTAGGTATAGAAATTGAGTAGAGATTGAAAGGGGAATATGAAGATATATAGTGGCTTATCATTTACCTTATCTGAACCATTTTTCTCGAATTGAAGTTGGTCATTTTTCTCGAAGATATATAGCTAGCTATTTTAATAACGGAGAATACATCGGTCCTTTAACAGGAAAAGTAAGACAATTCCTACTTATACATGGGAAACTGTGCTTGCATTTTTTTTTAATTTTTCTTTCCTTTTATAATGGAGCCCACCAAAAATTATTAATGCAGAAAAAAAAATTTATTGTCCTGTTGCAGAACACATATATTTCCCTTTTTAATAAACTATACTATATATGCATGTTGATTGCATGCAAGCTGACACGCTGTAAGGGATTTCACCATTCAGTGACTATCGAATCTGTATAAGCATAGAACCTAGAATTTTGCAAGACAATGAAATTCTTTGAAACACGTACGTTGAAACTCATAACATCTTAAAGGTATTGAAGGTGGAAAAAAGTGCAATCTGTGGAAGAAAAGATACAAGAGTGAGATGCAAACCCTTTCATCTTGCTGTATATAGTTATGAGGTCATATTGGATTGCAGTTATTTGCAGAGGATTAAGATTGGAAACATGATGCTAATAAAAATTTCCTCATATAGATTTCTCGAACAATAATTATTTCCTCATAATATCAAAAAAAAATTCATGATAAGAACTTTTTATATTTTTCTATGATAATTTTATCTTACTTATAATAGAAGTTACTATTATGCATTTATTCGTTGGTCAAAAGTAATAAAACAAGACTCTTATTTAATTACTTTAATAGGTAGATTAATTCCTCGCTTTAGCGCAATACTAAAACTTTAAAATAATTAAATCAGTTTCCATTTTGATTGACATGGAATACACCAACAAGATTAATAAAAGAAATATTTATTAATTTTATTTTTTTCTTTGCCGAAATATCTAAACATAAAAAGTAATTGGGTTAAAGATCTCTGGGTCTCATTTAAAAGAGGAAAGAGAAAAAAAATTCAGTAAGACCCACATATTTATTGTGTGTGTAGGAAGTGAAATTAGTTTTATGTAAAATAAGAAGTCTTTAATCAAAAGTAATTTGGTAAACAATTATCTCATCTAACTGCATAGGTTTATATGTGAAAGTTCATCAACGACTTTCACACCCCTTCACACAAGAGTTATTTGGGTTTGAAGGGTGGATATTGTATAAGTCCATTTTTTTTTGTTATACATTGTGCTGAGTTAATTCCATTAGAAAGTGAGAGACAGTGAACATTAAACTAGTAACCACTTTGATCACGAAGTCTCTAATAATATATAAAACAACCAATTCACCTAACACTACAAGAAAAGGTGCATTTAGCGGCGGTTGAATTATCATTTTGCGACGGTTATAACCGTCGCAAAAATAGTAGTGCAGCGGTTAACCAACCGTCGCCAAATAAATCGTCGGGAGGGAATCAACAACGGTCAAAATGACCCGCTGGAACGACCGTCGAAAACAATATAATGACGGTTACAAAGGCGGTGTAGCCGCCACAGGATGACCATCGAGTGTAGTATATGTTATTTTTGGAGGCGGTTTGAAACCGCCTCTGATTAAGTAACAATGTATTGCGCGTCGATTACAAATCGCCTCTGTCTTTACATTTAGAGGCGGTTTGTAACGGCCTCTGATTCAGTACCACCATTATTAGCGACGGTTATGAACCGCCGCTGTACGTAAATTTGGAAGCAGTTTTTAACACCCGCTGATTAAGTAATACTGTATTTAAGGTCGGTTACTAACCGCTGATGTATGTACATTTAGATTTGGTTTTTAACAGTCGCTGATTAAGTAATACTGTATTTTACGTCGGTTACTAACCGCCGCTGTATTTACATTTAGAATCGGTTTTTAACAGTCGCTGATTAAGTAATACTGTATTATTTCACGTCGGTTACGAATCGCCTTTGAATAATTTGAAACCATCTCTGATTAATAATTCAATAATTAATTTAAATTTTTTGATAATTTAATTAAAAAATTTATATAATACTTTTTTATGATTTTATTCAATAATTTAAAAAAAATTAATCAATTTTTGAAATACTTGTGTATGAAATATTTCAAAAATCCAATTTTTTAAATTTGAATAATAGTGATTTGTTATTATTTTATTATCGAAATACTTTTTATTTCATAAATATATTTAAATATACAATATTATATTCCATACATAATTTATGAAATATATCTTTAATTTTTTACTAGCAATGAAACCATGATCACATGTCGTCCAAATATAATTAAAATTATTAACAAAAAAGGATCATTCATAAAAATGTCATTTATGATAATGTGTTTTTTTTTGTTAAACCATTTATCGATCATAATGTTCAAAAACATCAAACTTGATATTTTGTAATATCATCTAAACAGAAAGTTTAGATTCCAAAAAAGTGTAACAAAATATCATCTCAAAATATTGTAATCTAAACAAGAAGTAAATATCACAAAAAAAAGTCCAACAAAATGTATTCCCATAGCTCACAAAATAAAGATCCCAAAATCTCAAAGTACTATAATATCTAAACAGAAATTAAAGATCACAAAAAAACCCAATAAAATGTCAATACCAAGTTTTCAAAATATTTAGAATTTAAATGTCATCCATGAAATTAAGAGTCATCAAAAGGAGTTGCGAATCCTTCATTTTGACCTTGTTGTGTGGATGATATGTTAATATTTGATGAAGACCTTGTGATACAAATGGAGGAATCCAAACATGAAGCCTACAAATCACAAATAAAGACCTGTTAACAGGATATTTGGATTTCTTGTTTGACATCACAAAGACATTGTCCTGCCATACAGTTACATAAACCAGTAAGAAGATTGAAACATGAAAAAAAAAGTAGTTAACATCACAGTGAAGAACAACCCCACCTTTTTGTCAATCAAGGTTGTCACATCATCAGAATCTTCATTTTCCAGGGAGAACACATATTGCAACTGAAATGATCTTGTGACACTAAAAATAATCATTCAAAAAGAAAAAAAGTTATCAATGAATATAAGTTCCATCCAATTATGCATTGTAAGTTGAAATCGAGAAACTACATCAGGCAACATATGACCATACTTTCCCTCATGTGTATCATTTCTCTTTGCTTTCTCATGTGTAATTTTAGCTACAGTCTCCAATACAGCCTGCAAAAGAAGACCAGATAGTTAACACTCATCTATACAAGATGAAAAAAAAGGCAAGTATGAATATGTCATAATATATTCAGTATATCTTATTAGACTATTTTAACCTATATTTGGAGTATCTACGAAGATATTTAAAATATAGCAGGGAATCAATTAGTCATCTAATTGAGGAAGCAATCTTGGGAGTTGTTTCCTAATTTAATTTATAATTCCTTTTTTTTCATTATTTAATTAAGGTTAGTAGTCTTACTGCATAATTTGTATTAGAACACCAATGCTTATACTAGTAGTACTATACTTTTTATTTGCTTTTCTCTCTCTTCCTTCTTCCCTACCAAATCAATATAGTGAGTTATTTTCAAATCATATTATCAACAGAACCAAAGTAACCTTGAAGTTAACACAAACGGAACGGCAACGAGGGACACAAGCAAAGCACCTAAAAGAAAATACAATTAGATAAGATACAATATAATAATAAAAAAAACTACTACACTGGAACATACACACCAGTTTATACTTAGTACGAATGGCGTTTGCAAAATATCAATGTAAGCAATCCATTTGAACTTAAAGATAAGCATGATTCAATTTCCAATACTAAACAAACTAGAATAACGAGTCATAAAACATGATAGTCATAAAATAATATACTGAAATCCATTTGAACATACACACCAATTTATACTTAGTACGAATGGCCAACTGGTTTAGTCAATATGCTGCAAACCATCCCCTCAAATTTCTGTCAGCCACCACAAACCAAAAAAAAAGTTAGCTTACCTTGAATATGAAGATCTGAGTTCAATCCAAAAAAAAAGTTAGCTTACCTTGACAAAAAAAATACAAAATTGGGCTAATCATTCAACATTCTTCAGTATTTAGCACTTGCAATGTAACAACTAGCAGCGTTAACTAACAAATTTAGATTGCTTGAAGCTCTTTTTCAACAAGAATAGGGTTAGGAGCATAGATTTCTAAAATAATTTTATCATTTAACTCACACCCGTTATTAATTAAGTTATAACAATATATCACGTAGACATCTAATGGTTTTTTTTTTTTTTTTGGTAATCACATTGTCTTTTAAATAAAAAATTATTTACGTGTTCTTCTAATTTTAATATAATTATGATATTATCAAATGAAATTAAATATTAAATTACAAAATATTAAAAGTTTTTTAATTTAATATTATTTTAAAAATCACCTTGATTTTTTTATATCTAAAAAATATATTTAAAATTAAAAATATTTTTTAAGATAAGTTAAAGAGTATTAGCTAGATAAATTATTTAATTTAAATTTATTTCTATGATATTATAACAATATTAGATAAAAAAATTGATTTATATTTATTTTTATGATAAAAATATAAGACATGAGATTCAAATCCCTATCATGTAATGAATTAAATTCAAAATAAGGTCCAAATATTTTTTTTACAATAAAATATTTATTTTTATTGTGAATCAAAATGGATATATTTAAATAAATGAATTTTCTATATATATAAGACCATAAGGGATCTTAGTCATACATTTTTATAACCACAATGGGTATATATGGTACTTTGAAACTACAACAAGTTAAATCACCACCACCACAACTACCACCGCTGCCGCCACCACCACTATTATCGTCATCGTCACCACCACCATCACCACTACCACTATCATCGCGACCACTGCCATCACCGCTATTGCCACCTTCGCCACCACTACCACCGCCACCACCACAACCACTGCTACCATCACCACCATTGTCACCAACAACCACTACCATTACTGCAGTCACTACCGTCACCGCTGCTGTTGCCACCAACCATCACCACCATCGTCACAGCTACTACCGTCACTACCACCATCATCGCCACCATTACACCACCCTCGTCACTATCATAACAACACCATCGCCACTGCTACCACCACTGTCACCTACCACTACCACCACTGTCGCAACCACTACCACCACCAAGATGTCATCACAAACACCATTACCATGCCAGCGCTACACCATTATCGCCGCCACCAACCACATATGCCACCATCATTGTCGCAGCTACCGTCACCTCCACCACCACCATCCCCACCACTACCACCATCGCCACGACCATTGCCGTCACAACCACCACCACTATCATCACCACGTCACTGCTACCACCACTACCGTACCGCCGCCGAAACACCACCACCATGCCACCAACCACATACGCCACCACCATTATCGCAGCTACCGTCACCTCCACCACAAACATGCCCACCACTACCACCATCACCAAAGCCATTGTCGTCACAACCACCACCATTATGATCATCACCATGTCACTGCTACCACCACTACCGTACCGCCGCCGCAACACCACCACCATGCCACCCCCGCCGCTACCACCACCACAACCACACCATATGGAAAGCAAAATGATGATCCAAATTTTTTTTATATTTAATAGGAATATTATTTTTTAGTATATTATTTGTTGTGTTATCAAACACATTTTTTTCTCAAAAACTGTTCCAATGCACAGAAATATAAAAGAATTGTTTCTTTTCAGAAACAGTGCTATGGAATAAAATGGTTGTGATGTACACCCTACACCTATCATTGACTCGGTGGAAAAGCTTCATTTAAATTTATACAAAAGTATCTAATAAATATAATTATGAATTTAAAGCCATAATGGTTGTTGTCGTTGAATTCCTCTAATGTATACTATGTTCAAATCCTGCTAAGTGTCGTTATGCGCAAAGAACGTTCGCAAAAAACATATTCATGAAATTGTATATTCTGCAACGTTTGGCAGGGTGTCGTGAAATTATATATTTTGATTCGTTTTGGTAACTGTCGTCTGATTTTGTATTCTGCGTCGGTTGTAACCGTCTTTAAATGAAATATCCTGCAGCTGTTCATAACCGTCTCTGATTTTGTATTCTGAGTCGGTTGTAACCGTCTTTAAATGAAATATCCTGCGGCTGATCATAACCGTCTCTGATTTTGTATTCTGCGTCGGTTGTAACCGTCTTTAAATGAAATATCATGCGGCTGATCATAACTGTTTCTGATTTTGTATTTAGCGTCGGTTTCAACCGACGTCAAATGAAATATTCTGCGGCAGTTAATAACCGTCTCTGATTTTGTATTCTGCGTCGGTTGTAACCGTCTTTAAATGAAATATTTTGCGGCTGATCATAACTGTATCTGATTTTGTGTTTGGCGTCGGTTTCAACCGTCGTTAAATGAAATATTCTTTGCGGAAATATCTAAACATAAAAAGTAATTTGATAAACAATTATCTTATCCAACTGATTGACTAATTTTTTTTTTTTTTATTAATTTTATACGTGAAATTAAATAAGAGGCGATGGGGATTGAACTCGTAACCACTTTGGTCATGGAGTCTCTAATATTATATAAAGCAACCAATTCATCCAACAACTCAAACTCTTAAGTCTCGTTTATTATTTAACTTATTTCTTGTGAAAAAAAAAATACCTAATCAACTTAAAAAAAAAAATTAATTACTTAAAAAAGTGAAAAGTAAATAAAAAGTCATAAGCATTTAGTATTTTGTGAACAAAAAGCATCTCATAATTTTAAAGTAATTATGAAGATTATTAAGCTGGTCCATTAATAATTATAAGGAGGAAGTGTGATTCCAATTAACATTCTACAATCTACTAAGCCAAATCTCAAGACTGCCAACTTATAATTTGGGGAAATCGAGCAACAGGATGTGTATGAAAAGAGAAGCCTAGAAATTGAACTTCAAGGTTTCAAATCCAAATGTTAAGTTTTAAGGAATGTTTCTCTGTGTTGTAATAGGGAAAAACACTTCTTATTAGAAGGTAAAAGAGAGTAAAGAAAAAATATTGATTTCATTGATTTGGTTGGTTAATTTGTACAATATGTGAGCTCTTATATAGAATAGCATAAGAGAAAAGAGAAAGATCTAGAATATCACTAAAATACTAAACTACCCTTATACCTAATATCTAATACTCCCCCTCAAGATCGAGAGTGAACAAAGAGAACTTCCATCTTGAACAAGAAAAATAAAGAAAACATAATAACTAAATAAAAAATCTCGAATGAGAAACCAAAATCTTCAGTGTGTTGGAATGAGCTTCAGCGAAATCAATGGTGCTGGTATGGACATCAGCTAAGGAAGAGAGGGCTGGGATGGACATCAGCCACAAAATACCAAACCTTCAGTGTGCTGGAATGAGCTTCAGCGAAATCAATAGTGCTGGTATGGACATCAGCTAAGGAAGAGAGGGCTGGGATGGACATCAGCCACAAAATACCAAACGGTGCCGGGATGGACATCAGCAAAATCAAATGTGCTGGTATGAACATCAGCAACATGAACAATGCTCCGCCTGAATAGGAAGCCAAAATAAAGCCAAACAATGGCAAAAATAAACCAAATACAAGCCAAATCAGACTTGAATAACACCACAAACATAAGTGGGAATAAAATCAAAGTGGCCAAATACAAGCCAGAAAAAAACAAAAACAAAATAAAAAATAAAAATAAAACAATATCGTAAATACTAAACCCATCTTCCGATTCGGGCAGAGGGACGGCCACAGTGCAATTACAATTAGCGCATCAATCAGTTGCAAATGATATTTCCTGAGTTTGCTTTTGGACCAAAAAAAAAAAAAAAATTGAAAATCGGATCAGATCTTCGAATCAGAAATTGAACCTGACGAGGAGGAGAAATGAATGTCACTTTGAATCTAAGCTGTATCGATAATGGAAAACATGTCCGACAAACAGAGGCGAACTTCCTCAAGAATCAAGAACAGGAGACGCAAGCTGGAAGGGGAAGCAGACTGCGACCGAAAATGATGACCGGAGAAGGAGACACAGCCGGGAGAAGATAAAAAACGCAGATCTGAAATGTGAACGATCTGAAACCAAACAAAAGGAGAAATTTAGAAGTGAAAATGATAACAGATCTGATCTGAAAATCTGATCACGAACAAAGGGGAAATGCTAGATGAATAACCAGATTTGAAAATCTAGAAAAGTTACTATGGCAGACGAAAAGTGCCAGGAAAAAAAAATATAACAGATCTGATCTATAAGATGTGGAAGAAAATTTAGAGAAAAAAGAGACACAAATCTGTAGAAAAATCAAGTAGATCTACAAAAATAAAAAAAATATCATGGCTCGGAAAAGAACACCAAAGAAGATGACCGGAATAGTGATTTTTTTTTTTTAATGATCGAAAAATAAAGGAAACAGACATATAGAAAAGGAAGATCGATGAAGAAGAAAAAAAAATAGTGATTGCAGCGGAATCTCCGTTCATGGAGGATAAAAATGCTCTGATACCATATTAGAAGGTAAAAGAGAGTAAAGAGAAAATATTGATTTCATTGATTTGGTTGGTTAATTTGTACAATATGTGAGCTCTTATATAGAAGAGCATAAGAGAAAAGAGAAAGATCTAGAATATCACTGAAATACTAAACTACCCTTATACCTAATATCTAATACTTCTCAATTTGTGAAATGTAATCTCATATTATGACCTTTTGATTTGTATGTAAATTTTTTTTTTCTTTTTTTTAATAAGTATAGAGTCCATCACTAATTGAGTCATATGATAAAATAATTCTGAGAAAATCAAAGTACGTTGTAGTATGATTCTTACTCCATGATGCAATGACTTTGCTGGAATTGGGTCAAACGGAAATAAAAAAAGAAACTAAGTGGGGTGGTGCAGCTAGCTGGCTCCCATTTATAGGGTGTTGAGTACAAATTTGGAGTGTTATCTTTATGAGAAATGGGACGAAAGTAATCAGGGAAGAAGGGCCAATAGTGCATAAAGCATAAAAATTCAACACATGTTTTTGCTAGTGCTTTTGGACGCGGCTAAGTTACAAAGCAATTTGTAAATCATCTCTTACTTCATATGTACTTGCAAATCAATTTGTTCATGGGCAGAGTGTTAGACTGCTTGAATGACACTGTTTAATTGTATAATATTATATTATTATTCGGAAAATTATATAAAATACTAAAAAAGATGATGATGATGATAATAATAATAATAATAATATTTAAACTTTAAAAAATTCATAAAACCATTATATATTTTTTTGGATAACATTATTTGTTACAAAGAAAGTGAATAACCGGCGTGGCAAAAAAGATGATAAGTATTAACAAAGCAACATGATTAAAGAACAATTTTTAACACTTGAACTAAAAAGTTCTTGAGTTCATATATAATTAACTTAATTAATCACTTCAATAGTTAACTATTCCTCCTAATGAAAGCATTATCAAGAACTTCTGTTTGTTGTTACTTTCCCATGCTATTTGTGTCACTTTCTGTAGAAACTATGGTGCTGTTTGGTTTAGGTCTTTTCAATATTTACCTATCTATATGAACTAAGGTTTTGTTAAAGCCAATGTTTGTTTCGAAGGATTTTCTCTACATAACCATCTATGTAAGTTGCATGTGTTTCACAACTTTGACTCAGAAACCAACGTTTTTGCACTGTTTAGAAAGCAAAGTTGCATGTGGTTTTTGATGAAAACCCGGATATGCTACTGTAGACATACTTTTTGCACTGTTGATTTCATAAAGTTACCTAATTTTCTCAATAAAGTTTTTCCCCACCAAACAACTTTTTTTTACATTTTTCTACCTATCTCACTTTATCTATCTTTCCAATCATTTTTCTATCTATTACATTTCCCTACTATTCCAAAAAAAAATTCCTCAACCAAACGCCACTAAATGTAAATCATGGCGTATAGCAAGTGATCTTTGCTTACGGCATCCAACGCCAATCACCACTTAACGATTGTTTTCTCAATGAACAATTTTTTTGTTTTCGAGATTATCTGCCCTGCACCCCCCCTTCAAAAAAAAAAAAAAATCTCTTCCAAAGATAGTATTTGAGAGAATCGAACACATTTTCTCACTCTCACCTACTCAGCTTCTACCATCATTTGGTCTCAATGAACAATCTTTGATCACCTTAAGAATGATATAATGTGTATATCGTTTTTTTTTTTTTCGGTTACAAGAGAAATACGTATCCAGGGCATGGCAGCAAGTCAACATAATATTGTTCTTTTAAATATTTCAGTCAACTGAATATGCACAAGATAAACAAAGGTAGAAATTGAAATGTGAACAACATATACCATAGAGGATGGCATCTATTAAGCTTGTTTCTTATGTACAAGTCCTTTCAGGCCCAAACAAAAACAGAAACAAGGTAACATTCTACACAGACCTAGTCAATGGCTTGATGAACTTGTTTCCAAAGCAACTGCTACAAATAATAATGTTAGTCAGAGTCTAATCACTTGATTTAGGTTTAAAACTAGAGTTTTGGCACTTGGGCAAACAAAATGGGGGGAACAAGTTCTGTATAATGAATGTCAGAACACCTAGTATGCCGCCACAATCCACATATATCACAAACCAACATTCTCTCCCAAAAATCATCCTTAGATACAAACACCCGTTTGGATGGTTTTTTTTTCTTCTTCATGAAGCAGTTTTTTTTTTTTTTTTTTTAAATGCATTTAATATGCATTTGAAGTACAACTTAAAAGAAAATAAAAGCCAAAAAAAATGTCAAAATACTATTCTTTAAACCCAACAATCCTGACTTCTAAAAAAATTTGCCAAAAACACTGATTTTTTACTTAAAAATATTTTCTAAATATTGCATCAAAATACAAAATAGGTCCGCCTTTAAAAAAAAAAAAATCTTAGAAAAAAATTGCGTAAATATCATGAGGTATATACATCTTGAAAAGCATTTGCTGCTTTTTTTTTTGAGATTTTTTCACCGATTCATCAATTAATCGATTAATCAGTTGAGCTAGGTAGGACTATAAAGGCGGTAAAGCTCTCCTTATCAAATTTTTAACACAGCTACATACCTAGAACTCGAACTTGAAACCACTTGTTAATCTGGAATATTACTGCTTCAATTTTAAGGTCAGACAGCGTGAAACTTATGGGCGGCAGTAGCACAACCAATTCTGCGGGAATTTTAGCGGCAGAATTTTCAGATTCTTCCACAAGTTCCACGTGACATGTGAGGCGTATTCTGTACAAATGTGCCATTGGCAACATCTCAGACCTATAATCTTTTACAAACAGCTTGCAGTCACGAAGTTTCTGAGCTGAGCTCATTGCAAGAGTCCTTGTGTCCTCGGGAACATAGTTCATCATAATCTGAGGATGAAGCAAAGAACATAAAATACTACTCAATTACATAAAATGCTTTCAGAAGAACATCAGTATTTCAAGGCTCGCACTCAATATTAAGAATGTTATTAGACTTCTTATGCATCAATTTCACTAATTACTAATAATCCAAACAAGAGGGTACAACCATAATAACCCACCACACAATTGAAACAAAAAAAAAGAATAGATTGAATGTACTATAAGTTATTCTTTGGCCAATCCTCATGCATAACAATCCATAGAAAAAGCATCAATTCAGCATATGCCATGAGTTCATAAAAGTAAAAACAGAACAGTGCAGTAGGTTGTTTCATAAATCATTAAAACTGATGCATTAGTATGTTTATTGAAACATGACAATTTCCTATGCCAGAGTCTATGACAATTTTTTAAGTCACAAAAGTGAAAAATACAGAAGAATAAAACTATTCCACTACATCAGAATAAAGTCTAACCTGTACTCAGTACTCAAAAGCTCCAGATTGAAGATTGCATCGCGTATTAACAATCATTGCACCAAAGACCACTTTTCCACCCAGTTCTCCAAGGCAGGTTATCAAGCAGCTCTGCAGAAGCCACCTTGTAGACCCCTAAGAGCATGCCAGCTCACCCAAATGGACCCGGAAGCAGCATGCAACACTCTGAGCATCACTTCCTCAACACGCACCATGTCACCATTGAGTTGGCACTTCTTGCAGGTGATGTCATTGATGCAGTCTCACGAGCATCGTGAACCAAACCCATCAATAAACAAAATGGACAGGCTTTCAAAAGTAGTCTTTATGCTTCCAGTGTGAGGCCATAGCCAGCAGAGCCAAATTGATAACCCCAGTCACCAAACCAGGGATGTCCCTTTGTGATGGCATGGAGCAGGCAGTACCAAGCCCATATTTCTTTGAAAAATCCATCACGCTAAATTTACACTGCCCATGAAGAAAAGTAAGAACACATCAGAGTTTAACTCAAAGCTAAGTCCATATAAGAACAAATATGTTAAACAAAGGTGCTCTTCCATTTCAAGAAGGTTAAGGAATTTCCAGATGCCCAACAAATTAGCAATGTAAGTTTACTGTATTAAATCTATCTCTAAAACATCCATGCTCCCAACCTAATCAGAATAGGCAGATTCAAAAGTACTGTCATGTTTAATTTAAGCAATCATCAGCTTTTTAAGAAAGTTTTCTTTGTTAAATTTTCCCAACACACTGCCAAATAGGTGACAAAAGTGTCATGGATGATAGATAAGTACATGAAAGAAATTGAAAGAATTTGATCAAAGACCTAAAAGAATGAACACATCAAAATAGGAAGAGAGATGACTGAATTTCTTGATGAAATCGTCAGCGTGATTGGATATATATATATATATATATATATACAATCTCTATTATCAGTAAACAAGGAAACAAGATAAACCACTCCTCATTAAACTACGATTAGCAAGGGCGGGGTAAAAGTAATCCTGGTACGTAGCCTTATCTTTGTATATTTGCAAAGAGACTATTTTCCGTATTCAAACTCATGGCTTTTCAATCACAAAGGAATAGCTTTATCACCTCTCCAAGCTCGCCAACACAAGGAAACAAGAGAACTAGAAAATAATACAAATCAAATCCAACTATCTACAGCAAATATACAGCATCTAAACAAAGCATTTAAATAGGACAAATTATCTCTAAATAATAGATATTTTCCAACAAGAACTACTGAATCAGAAACAATAAAGAAGCAAATACGTATCGTGAATTCTTCGGCTGTTTTTTTGTAATCTGAACCGTTTAGACTCTTAAGATTCATAAAGATAATGAAAAATGACTTCAAAATATATAATATCATATAAATACAAATACCAAAACACATAAGTAACCAAATTCCCTAATCTTTCCCATAACAGTAAACGAGTATCCAGATTCTACAAATTTTGAATCCTACGCTTTTTGATTGTTTCTCTTTTCAAAATCAGATTGGATTTTGAAACACAAATCCTTATTTGATTTGCGATACAGATGGTTTGCTCTGATTCACACATTCGATCCGCATCATTTTTTTCTATATCGGATCATATCGTGCAATAGTAATTACCACGTCAAGAAGTAATAATTAAAATAGTGAATCCTAACCTGACTTAAAGTGTCTTGTAGAGCCGATCCCAGAAGTTCACGATATGGCAGCCAGAAAGAAATCTTGAAACCCCTTCTCTGCCATTAACTTGAAGAAGGTGCCCATATTTTCACCACTTTCAAGCCAATAAATCAAATGGAAGTGTAGCAATTTGGAGAGATACAATTGAAAAGAAAAAGAGTAAATAATATTATTTCTCAAGCTGTCAGGTTCAAAGCATTACAATACATATAGAGACTAATGGACCGAATGGGAATAAACCCAAATACTATAATAAGAAAAGACTAATTCTATGGTAAAGAAACACTAATCTAGCTAATAAAGAATACAATAATTACAAATATTTACAACACTCCCACTCAATTTGAGAATTATATGGAATCTAAAATATATAACAATTTTTTAAATGTTTTTAAAAAGAATTTATTTTTTAGGCCAAGGTTGAACTGTTAATTTTAATAGCTTCTTTCCCCATACCATTATTCTCTTAATTTGGCATACCAAACATAGGACTAGAATGAAAAGGTCATTCATTTCTTAACCATACAAAACAAGACAAGTGAATGTTTATTCCACTTATTTCCCATAACTAAATGCAAATGATCACAAAAATTAATGTGTCAGATTACATCAAAGCCCACGTGCCAATATTAAAGTAATCCATAGAGAAGAAAAGTTAAGTAAATACTAAATATAAAGGCAAAGGAAGCCATTCGGAATGCAAATGTAAATAATAAAATAATCAACATTTGCAAGAGAAAATGCATCACAATCTCACAAGGAAGTAATTCCTACCCAACAGTTGCTTCACAATCTCACAAGTTCCCAGTCTTCTTTTGACATGTCATAGATTTCAACACGACCATTCTCAAACATGATCTGCAAAAGTAAATGCATATTCATATCTAATAACAATTTTCATTCAAGTTATAAAAATCCAACCAAAGAATCTCTTACCGAGTGTTTTTGAGAATATTTATCAAACCGTATAATAATCCCAAACCTGTAGCATTATAACAATAAAAAAGATTAAAGTTCAACTCTAGGCATAACTTATATGAAGTTACCTTGATACCCCATTGAATCCTGACTAATGAGGGTGGGGTGAGGGCAATCCTCATATGAAGCCTTATTCTTACATATTTGCAAAGAGACTTATTTCCTTTATATGAACTCATGACCTTTCGGTCACAAAGGAGTAGTTTTACCACTACTCCATGCTTGCCCTCTTTATGAAGCTAGCTTGATGAATAAATACAAATAAAAATAAATATACAAATTTCATAACGATAGAGTACCGCAATTCAAAAATTTCAACATACCTCACATTTCCAAGTTGTTTTATCCTTATAACTTTACCAATGCAACTGTGTAAGCACTTTGATTGGTTAACAACACGAGAACTACCTGGAAAATCAAGTAAAAAAAAGAGAGGATGATTTATAATATAGAACATAAAACAAAAAGAGGAAATGAAATGATAACAGATTCTACGCATGTTTTCAATCAGATGAAAAATCAAATATATAGCCAACAAAATAAAGAAACAAGCTTACCAATATGCAAACCTCCATTGTGATAAACCTTTCCAGACAAAAGTCCCACAATTAGTCAACAGGACATATCTTTATAATTTAATAAGGCAGTAGAAACTAAATTCCATAAAAATGATTGAGCAAATTACCTAGGGATTGATTGTATGTAATGAGAAAGGGAAAGGAAATGAGAACAGAATGTTTGGTATCACCCTTAGAATGGGAATGTTCATTCCATCAAATGAAGGAATTGCCATTCCCTCCAAAAAGGGATAGTGTATCTTCCAATCAATTCTCTTGGGAATCATTCTAATTATTATATCTTTTCAAACCAGAAATTATCCTAATATTAGAAACCAAAAATCTCAACCCAATCATGCTTTTTCCATAATGTCCTAGCGTAGAGCTCTTCCCTCCATCCACCCGATACTGCAGCAAGCAACGTTCTTGAATTGCAATAGGTATCGTGTATCGCTCAGTCAGTTTTTTTGTATTGTGAATCGTACCAAATCGTAAGATACAAAAATATAATAAAAAATAATTTAAAAATATATAATATCATTTAAATCCAAATTCCAAAAAGAATCCAATCAGCAAAATGTAAAAGTAACTAAAGTTCAAACTAGTTATTCTCCTACTCATCAATCTTCAAGATTAATATTATCAATATCACAATTAGCATCTACCAGTGACATAACTAATCCATCATCCTCTTCATCAGTGTAGTCATCTTACTCATCTCCCATTTCTTGTTCAACAATTTGAGGTCTTTTTCCCTTGTCATTCTTATTGGCAATGTCATTCTTGACTTTTCAAAAAAAAAAAAATATGAATAAAAAATTATATCTTTATTTTCTTTTCCCAATTAATAGATACTTTATGATTTTTTATATGAAACTGCCAGTTTTGGTTTGATTTTCGTATCATACGATACACAATTTGATATAGTATCACACGATACGATGATACAGGTGTGATACAAGGCCCATTCGAATACAACCAACCGATACGTATCACGAAGATTATGAATTGTACGATACACAATTCGATACGTATCATGCGATACTAACAACTATGGCAGCAAGCAACAACATTAGTTGTCACAACCAGAGAAACATTCATTATCTCTGGTGTCTTTGCAGTACAATCTATTTATCAACCTGATAAGACCCAACCCAACAAACCCAAGCCCAGTCAAGTTTATAAGAGGGACAAGCAAAGAAGAGTTTGGTTGGCCACTTAAGTTGCTGATGAAAGCCCAATCCACCAAGGCCCAATCCCAATTACTGACTCAGCAAACCAATTGGCAATTCTGTTGCAACAGAATGGTGGAACGCACGAGGACGTGAGTGGAGGAAATAAAGGAACGATGCTGTTGAGGGGGGAGGGCACCTTGAGTCTGAATTGAGAATCTTGTGACTTAGGAGAGAGTGAAGCCTCTCTAATCGCTTCACACTATCATTTCATTTCTGTCTGTAATTTCAATTCTAGTATTTCATTTGTTAACTTGTAATACGTCGATGAACTACGTAACTCTACTGTTGATTCATTCTGGTTATTGTAATTGGTGTTAAGGCGCATGGTTGAGAGACTGATTCTGGTTATATAAATACATTCCAATTTCATTCTAGTTCATCATTCCATTTGATTATTGTAATTGTTGGTTGGTCCTTATCAATTGGTATCAGAGCTCCGATCTAGGAGCTCTGTGGAATGGTTGTCACCAGGAACATGGAAAATCGAATTGAAGCTATGGAGGAAAGGCTGCGCAGGAATGAGGCTCAAAATGTTGAGATACTCAGGAGGGTGGAAACTAGCGAAACAGGAGTCGCAGAGATCATTCGTAGACTGGAAGAAATGGCTAGGCCACGACGGAATGGTTCTCATGAAGAGAATGACAGATTAAATAGAGAAAACCCCGGGTTTCACGGACGGAGGTTTAACCCAGCAACCTCTATGACCCGTCGCTTAGAGATCCCTCTGTTCAGCGGCGAGGACGCATATGGATGGGTAAATAGAGTGGAAAGGTACTTTAACGTCAATGGAATGATGGAAGACGACAAGTTAGCTTCCGTTATGGTGGCGTTGGAAGGGGAAGCCTTGCAGTGGTATCTATGGTGGGAAATAAACAACCCAAATGTGAGCTGGGAATTTTTCCGGCGAGAAGTGTTGAGTAGGTTCCAACCAGAGGCTCTAGACAACCCTTATAGGGCTCTGTATACGATGAAGCAGACAGGTACGATGGCAGAGTTCCGAAGCGACTTTGAGAAGGTGATTGGAGCTTTACGTTTTGATGATGAAGATGTGTTGAAGGGGGCATGGCTCAATGGAGTCAGGGGCAGCGTTCGTGAGGAGTTAATGATGAACCCAGACATCAGCCTCTCTGAGATGATGAAGTTCTCTCTCAAAATCGAAGCGCTGAAGGAGGAAGGTGTGGGGGCCGTGGGACGATACGGGCCCGTTGGGTCAGGAAAGGGTAATCAAACCCAACGCAATTGGGCTGGACCCTATGCCAACAAAGGAGGACAATGGAGCGGGTCGAGTACGGGTCAAACTAATTTCACAAATGCACATCAGTCACCTAGGGCACCAAACGATGAGCAAGTAAGAATGGCGGCCACGAAGGGTACCACTAACACCACCACTCCAAGCGGCGGTGTTGGGCTGGCGACCGAAGGTCAAGCAAGCAGCAACCGGCGACTCTCGCCGGCGGAGGTCAGGGAACGTCAAGCCCAGGGACTTTGCTTTACATGTAACGGGCGGTGGAATCCCTCTCATAAGTGTCCGTTCAAACAGCTTCAGGTGATGATCGTAGAGGAAGATGGTGGAGACGGAGAGAAGGCAGTCGAGGCCGAGTTCACCGAACCAGAAGTAGAAGGTTCGCCAGAGGGAGATGAAGCAACACCCGTACACCTATCCTTACAATCTTTGCTAGGGCTCGCTTCAAACCAAACACTTAAGGTTTGGGGGGACATTCAAGGTTCGAAGGTCATCGTGATGGTGGATTGTGGAGCCTCGAGCAATTTCATAGGAAGAGGTGTGGCAGAGAGACTTGGTTTATGCGTGACCGCAACCCAGTCTTACAACGTGGAGGTTGGGGACGGACATATAGTCTGTTGTCAAGGGGTGTGCAAGGAGGTGAGTGTCTCACTTCAGGGTACCATTATTGTTCAAGATCTTTACATATTCGATTTGGGGAGTGCAGACGTTGTGTTAGGGCTGGAGTGGCTGACCCAACTCGGTGAGGTCAAAGCAAGTTTCAAGGACCTCACTCTGAAGTATGTGAGTGGAGATAAGGAAGTAACCATCAAGGGAGACCCATCGTTGTTCCGTTCTGAGGCATCATTGAAATCCGTGGTTAAAGCCTTGCATGACCAAGGTCAAGGGTTCTTCTTGCAATCAGAGGAGGAGGAGCGAACAAGGGATAGCTTGCCGTGGGAAGCCTTGGATGGGTTGTTGGCCGAGTTCGAGGTTGTCTTTCAGAAGCTACATGGGCTACCACCCCGGAGGGATCAAGATCACGCAATCAATCTGAAGCCAGGAAGCGTGCCACCCAATATACGACCGTACAGGTACCCCCACTACCAAAAATCTAAAATAGAAACTTTGGTGGCTGAGTTATTAGGAGATGGGTTGATTAGACCAAGCACCAGTCCCTATTCCAGCCCAATGATCCTTGTCAAGAAAAAGGACGGGAGCTGGAGGGTCTGTGTTGACTACAGGGCCCTGAACAAACTGATCATCCCAGATAAATTTCCCATTCCTGTCGTTGATGAGCTGCTGGATGAGCTTGGGGGGTCAGTGGTTTTTTCCAAACTCGACTTGAAGTCCGGGTTCCATCAAATCAGGATGCGTGAGGAAGATATACCTAAAACAGCTTTTAGGACGCATCAAGGGCATTACGAGTACTTGGTAATGCCCTTTGGCTTGACGAACGCCCCTTCTTCATTCCAGGCTCTTATGAATGACGTTCTTCGACCTTTTCTGAGGAAGTTTGCGCTTGTGTTCTTTGATGATATAATGATATACAGCAAAAGCAAAGAGGAACATTTGGGGCATTTGCGTCTGGTGTTCGAAGTTTTACGGTCTCATTCTTTGGTATGCAACAGGAAGAAGTGCAGCTTTGGTAAGGATCAGATGGAGTATTTGGGGCATGTTATAACAGCCCAAGGAGTTAGTGCCGATCCAAAAAAGGTCCAGGCGATGAGAGAGTGGCCAGTGCCCAAGAATATCAAGGGGTTGAGAGGTTTTCTGGGACTCACAGGGTACTACCGGAGGTTTGTGCAAGACTATGGGAAGCTTGCAAAGCCTTTGACAGAGTTACTCAGGAAAGACGCCTTCCAGTGGACTACTGAAGCAGAGCAGACCTTCGAACTATTAAAGGAGAAGATGTGTACGGTGCCTGTTTTGGCAATGCCTGACTTTGCCAAGCTGTTCACCGTGGTGACAGATGCTTCAGGAAAGGGGATAGGGGCTGTTTTGATGCAAGATAACAGGCCCATCGCGTTTTTGAGTCAAGGTTTCTCATCAAGAGCGCAAGGAAAATCGATATATGAGAAAGAGCTCATGGCCATAGTCTTTGCGGTGCAGAAATGGAAGCACTACCTGATGGGGAGACACTTTATCATCAAATCGGACCAAAAGAGCTTGAAGTTTTTGACAGATCAAGCTGTACTAAATGAGGATCAACAAAAGTGGGCTGTGAAATTACTTGGGTTTGACTTTGAGATTCAGTATTACCCGGGCAAGGAAAATTTAGTTGCTGATGCGCTCTCTAGACAAGAGCAGCTGGCCAGTATCACTCGGCTTCAGCTACCAGCGTTGGAGGATTTAGAATCTGAGCTGCACGCGGACAGTAGGCTAAGGAGCATTGTGCAGAACCTGCTCTTGGATAAACAAGCTCACCCAGGATTTTTGTTGAGGGAGGGCAAGTTGTATTACAATGAGAGGTTAGTTTTACCAAAAACTTCAAGATTTATTTCTACCTTACTTCATGAATTCCATGACTCCAAATTTGGAGGACATTCTGGATACTTCCGAACATATAAGAGGCTGGCTGGTTTGGTCTATTGGGAAGGTATGAAACGGACAGTCCAGAATTATGTGGCAGCCTGCGTTATTTGCCAACAAAGTAAGGCCCAGAACTTGACCCCAGCAGGGCTGTTACAACCTTTGCCAATTCCGGACAAGGTTTGGGCTGATATATCGATGGATTTCATCGGGGGATTGCCCAAAGCTATGGGATTTGATACGATCCTAGTTGTCGTGGATCGCCTCACTAAGTATGCACATTTTCTGCCTCTTAAACACCCCTATACAGCCAAGGATGTTGCTGAATTATTTGTGAAAGAGGTCGTGCGACTTCATGGGTTTCCTGCCACCATTGTCTCAGATAGAGATAGAGTCTTCATGAGCTCTTTTTGGGCAGATCTATTCAAAAGTGCAGGCACCAAATTACACTATAGCACGGCCTACCATCCCCAAACTAATGGCCAAACCGAAGTAGTCAATAGGTGTTTGGAAGTTTACTTGAGATGTTTCTGCGGGCCCAAGCCCAAACAATGGGTTAAATGGATCCCTTGGGCCGAGTATTGGTACAACACCACCTACAAAGACACTACAGGCATGACCCCATTTAAGGCTCTCTATGGCCGAGACCCACCTCACCTGCTGAAGGGAGAGCATTATTCTTCCTCAGTTGATGCTCTCTCTAACTCATTAGATGCCAGGGATCAAATACTCATTGATCTGAAACAGAATCTTGTACAGGCCCAGGACCGCATGACTGTCCATGCTAACCAGCATCGCAGGGATGTCAATTTTGCTCCAGGAGATCTTGCTTATCTAAGGCTTCAGCCTTATAGGCTGAAGACTATTGCCCGGAGGGTCAATGAGAAACTAAGCCCCAGATATTATGGACCCTATGTGGTTTTGGAGAAGATTGGGGAAGCAGCTTACAAACTTCAGCTGCCCCAAGGTTGTCTGGTCCATACGGTTTTCCACGTCTCTCTACTCAAAAAAGCCATAACTCCAATACCCAATGCTCAGCCCTTACCTGCTGCTCTCTCGGCAGATTGGGAGCTCTGTGTGGAGCCAGAAAGGTTGGTTCAATGGCGGCTGTCCAGTAACGGAGACTTGCAGGTACTTCTCAAGTGGTTGCACCTTCCTGAGTTTGAAAACTCGTGGGAGCCATTTGATGTCATCAACACCCAATTCCCTCACTTCCACCTTGAGGACAAGGTGCTTCAATTGGGGGGGAGTATTGATAAGACCCAACCCAACAAACCCAAGCCCAGTCAAGTTTATAAGAGGGACAAGCAAAGAAGAGTTTGGTTGGCCACTTAAGTTGCTGATGAAAGCCCAATCCACCAAGGCCCAATCCCAATTACTGACTCAGCAAACCAATTGGCAATTCTGTTGCAACAGAATGGTGGAACGCACGAGGACGTGAGTGGAGGAAATAAAGGAACGATGCTGTTGAGGGGGGAGGGCATCTAGAATCTGAATTGAGAACTTTGGACCTTGGGAGAGAGTGGAGCCTCTCCAACTGCTTCACAACTATCATTTCCTTTCTGCTTTGTAATTTCAATTCCAGTATTTCTATTTTGTTGAAGTGTAATGAAGAAATGAGCTATGTGACTCTGTAATTTCCCTTTCATGCTTGTTACTGTTGTTAAGACTGAAGAGTGGTTGTTGTAATACTGTTTCTGGACAGATTATAATCAATATAGTTGCATTTCGTATTATTGTTCTATTTGTTTTAGTGTGATTGTTGGCTGGTCTGTATCAGTTACTTAGGCGGCGATCAGAGTTCATGTAAATAGGAGTAGCCTCCTAGTGGTTTAAGTGCTTTGATGATTGCTGATTATGGAAGTCCATACTCCCACTGGGACTACTAGTACTGTGTTGCGCTTTTCAATTTCTTTGTTGGGCTTAGCCCCCTTTTCTGTACCTCCCAAAACAATGTTGTAATATATTCATATAATATGCAAATAACATTGTATTGGCTTTGGGTGATGATTATTATGCAATCTAGAAAGCAGAAGCATCAATAAACGATAATCTAATTTTCAATATAATACAATAAAAAGTTACATTGCCATCTTTTACCTCTAACAAAAAATTTACAATGTGATTGTCTAAGATAATGAGTAACCCAAATTTTTATTCTATAGAGGTGCTGTTGTACAACAACAGGGGAGAAGTAGATGTTTTATGTTCTGAGTAATTTTTTTGTTTTGCTGGGCTAGTGCCTTCCTTCGTAACCAAAAAGAAAGAAAGCATAACATAGATTAAGCACAACCCACTTTCTCCAACACGATGGAATTGACAACATTGTTTACAAAAGCATGAAAGCATTGTCGGCAACAATTAGGCATTAAGGTAGATTTCGGAAACTGAGTATGGTCAGTATGGCTGCATACCGAGCTTGAGGGCTGCTCCGAACTGCAAGCAGCTAAGATGGTATGGGTAGCCTGCCTTGCAACTGCCTTGAAGGTATTGACACCTGCATCGCGAACAGCTTCAAGTAAAATACTTTTATTCAAGTAACAATAATTATCATTTGCGTGCAACCTGTTTAACAGTTTAGAGCATAGTAGTTTCTCATAAACAATTTTGTTCTTACATGGGAAAAATTGAGAAACCACGATAAAGTACAGAATTTATGTATACTCTCTCCACCTCACATCAAATGAATGAAAAGATGAGTGATGTATGTGGAAATGATAAATGTAGAATACTGAGCAAATGAGTTCACCTAATGATCAACCATGAATTGTAAAAGTGTACGTGAAACATCTATATATCTTTCAGCCAATAATGATCATGTAAATATTGAGGAAAAAAATAAGTTTAACAATGACTTACCTAATTGTTTATCTCTAGTTAAGAACTTCAGATTCAGTTTAACAAGAGACTGGATCTCGGTTTTTGCATCTTCAATTTTGCTTGGGTTCCCATCCCCAAAGCTTTTAGCCAACCTATTTTTTTCATTTATAATATCCATATCCCCATTAGAGGTTAACACACTACCAAACTTGCCATGAGAGGGAGCTGAACCTACTGAAGTTACTAAGCAAGCCGACCGGCTTTGTTCCTTGGCAACATTTCTCTCTCCATCTTCACGACAGGGAAAACCCTGGATCCCAGCATGAACCTTTCTGAGCAGTGGACGTTCACAGTAACCTTCTGAATGAGTGGTGTGGTCCCTCACATGCTGTATCATCTCTTCCTCACATGGAACCCTGCTTTGCTTTTTCTCTCCCAACTTCGGAGACCAGTGATTTTCCAAATTCCTGCTGAGACTAGAATTACATTGCTTCTCCATTCTAGTGTACCTTAAGATTAATGTTCTGGACTGTTGATTTTTCAATTCTGGGTAATTACAATGTGCAAACGGTACTTTTCTAGCTCCTCCACTGCATGAAGGATTATCCACTGCCTGTGGAATGCTGCTAGTTCTTTGATGAGTCTGTTGCATTGTCTTTGCCCGGTCCATCATTTTCCAAGCCTTGTCAATATCTTTCAAGCCTCTCTCATTCAACATATTGCTAGAAGGACCCCCTTGGACAGTGGATTGTTGAAGGCCTGTTGAAGCCATAGAATGTGAATCATCTAATTTGCCAAGTGATGAGGAACTAGAATCTTGTTTTTGACTATTTGTGCCACCAGATTGAACTGAATTGCTATGGAACCGTAATGAACCACTTCTCAAAGAATTCCAATTTTCACGAAATGCTTGTACGTTACGCTGCACACGTTGGAAATCTGACACAGGTTTTTTACCTTTGAATCTACTCACCCTATCAGGTAAAGGAATAACAGGAGATGACTGGTTTTGTTGTAAAGGAGATGCACTTTGTCTTCTAACCACCTGGCTGCTTGGTACTCTCACAATATCAGAGATGGTCGCACTTGGCTCAGCTGTTGGCACAACGTTTTGTTTGTCTGATTCTTGATTAGCATATGTCTCCCGGGAAATAGCACAATCATGACAAAACCAATCACCTTCAGGAATAGTAAAGCCCAAACCAGCGCAATATGTATGTGAAGCAGTATCACAAAGATCACAAAGTAGAAGAAGATTTTCATCTGTCCCAACATGGCAGATACTACATTTGACTTCAGCATAAGAATCAGAAGGACCAGTTGTCATATTTCCATGAGGATGATAAACCTACAATATAAAAGAAATCATTAGCATATTAACATTAATGCATCTACATAAATATTAGCTCAGCCATTCTTTGATTTCATCACATCACCAGACATAATTAATTTATAAAAAAGAGAATTATGGAAAGAATTTAATTTTGATGCACTGTCAGTGTAAACAAGAAAGTTTTACACTTACATCCAATTATGTGTTGCCACTCGACAGATCATTTAATGAGTTTGACAACACCGGAGATGTCAAACTCATGTGGCAACAAATTAATGGATTATAGTGCAAAATTGACAATGTATCAGAATTAAACTTTTAAGGAAATTGGGTAGAAGGACCTTTCTTTAAGCAACCACTTTTCCTGGGACAATGCATAATCAAAACAAAAAGGTTGTATTCAAAAAAAAAAAAAAAAAAAGGTTGAAAAGAAGAGGCAAAAAGTAGACCAGGGAAGAATTGCATATAAGGCCCGAGGCAATAGCCCTCCGCACTTCATGCTCAATTAACTTATGTAACACAAATACGGCAATAGTGTGTTACATACCAAGCTCTTCGTTGGTATCAATTAGCACTTACCAGCTTCCATTAATAAAAGATTGAATTGATATCAATTAGTCCCTAATTAGTATCAATTAGCATTTGTTAGCTTCTTCTATTAATGAAATATTGGTATCAATTAGTATCAATTACCATTTTAGTATTTCAAATCCCTGTCATATACTATTATAAGTCACAATGGCTCTATTGAGTAGGAAAGCAATTAAGCAATTACCTTCTTCCAATCATTCTCTCTCTCTCTCTCTCTCTCTCCTTTCTTCTCTGTCTTTTTTCTCTGGAATTTTGTCATTCTACAATCACCCTTAACAACCAGTGCTTTCATCGACTCTTGCCTCTCCATGCCAGCAACCCAATAATGCAACAACTAGCAACTGCCGTCAAATGGTTATGCCAGGATTTCCTAGACTTTCAAGCCAACCAACTTACCGTAGAATGTCTCATGGCATTACTGGACAAGCGTGATCTATGCCTCCTTGCCACCATTTGGACAACACACCAACTCATGGAAATACTCTTCGCCTAACGTTCTCGCATTTTTTCTTGGACAACCCATGACCAAACCGTAAGGCTTTTCAACATGTTTCAGTATTATAACGTACTAAGAAGACCGATTTCTGCTGACCATGATGCACCTACGGCCACTTGGTACCAGTGTTTGTGATAACCCAATGCCTAATTGTGATGCAATTGTCCACGTCATATGTTGCTGATTTGGTTCCTCTGATTATGAGGATACCACCAACCTCCCTGCCAAGTCGTCTCAGATTTGCTCTAAACCAACTTCAAAAACCTTGCCAGTCAGATGTGTGGTCTCTCTAAAGATCATTTACACAATTTGTTTATCTCTGACTTGCAACTTTGAGTGCGCATGGAAATCCAAGCTCAACGGCCTATGGACTTGCATGTACATTCGCATTTGCACACGTGTATGAGTCTCAACTTGGCAACACACACCTCAACAATCGGCCATTTCAATTGCTGCCCTCGGCAGCCCCAAGCCGGACAGCCCCTTCCACCTCCCAATCACATGTCACACAGCATCATATCAAACTTCTGCTAGATGAAGAGATGCAAGCTATGCTTCAACAATGATGAGAAGTTCATCCACGGGAATTGATGTAAAAGTTGTCCTTTCGATCATTTCGTGACTAAATAAAACATGTAGTTTTGTACGAAGGACTTATGTGCCCTTTAATCTAAACAACAAGTCCTTTTTCACACTTATCCCAAACCAACATGTCATTTTGTGTGATCTTCAACCTCCAAACGACCGGATAGTGACGTAAATTGAAACCTGACGGTTTCCAAGCCATTTTTACACCAAAATTTACGCTTCATAGCATAGATTATAGAATCAATAGAAATTCAATTTCCCAATGATTTCCAAACCCACTTTCTATTAAAAACATCTAAATCGCAAACTTGAAATCAAAGTTTTCAAAATTGGAAAATACAGTTCGGGCTTCACATGTGCAAAATAACCTAAATGAGAATCAAGCAAGACACAGGCATTCCAAACACTCTGATACCAGATGTGACACATAAACATGATCGAACAACCTGAACATCACATTTAATATTGACGTACAGAAGCGGATTGAATCATACATCCCGCCATTGCTCTGTTCTCAAACACTCAAGGGTTACGTGAAGTGTTTGGGTTCCGATTCAATGGCTCTTCTAAGCCCTCTCTTCCACTTCTTTGATGATGTTTGCAAATTGAATGTGAAAGTGAGCTTAGGGACCAAAAAACCATAAGTGCACACCCCTTAAATAGCCTCTGGCTGTAACGGGAGTTCAGATATTCTTAACCACAAAAAGTTTTTCTTCTATATAGTATATACCCTGGTTGAAACAGCCTCTTCGCAATTATGCAAGGGTAAGGCTGCGTATAAGGATTACCTCCACCCCACACTGGCTAGTCAGGTTTAACAGAGAGTAGTTTTTGTTTTGTTTTGTTTTTTAATTTTTAAGTATATACCCTGGTTGTCAACTTTAAATCCAGCCCTCTAATGACTGTGTAGCAGATCTCCTAGCTCTCCTATTCTACATCAGAAACCCTCCATATTCAACAAAATTTAATTCACTTCAATAATGTTTGTTGAGGACATGGTGTGAACAAACCCCTTTATTATATCCACATATATTCTTATTACCTACCAAACGATATGTCCACATGCACCAAGAGGGATGAATAAGTAAATGCAAATGGCGAAGTTAATGTTGATTAGCTTTCATTTCAGTTCAGTTATAGTGGAGGTGAGAAGAAGAAAATTACCTGGTCACGAAGAGGAACCTTAACGTCCCGAGAGGAAGAAAAGACGCCATGCATAGGGAGCCTGCGAACGTTGGAGAATCTCTGGCGACAGATTGGGCACCGAGACTCGTGCTTAGCCCATTCCATGATGCAAACGAAGCAAAAGTAGTGGTTGCAGCAATCAATTTCCCCCGCGATCGAAAACCCACGCTCGGCGTAGCAAATCCCGCAACAATCATCATCCACATCCACTTCGGATTTGACGCGCTTCTTCGGCGAAACCAACGAACTCGACATTTTTGAAGTACTCCTGAACTCTGAAGCTTTCACAACTCCCTTCCGATTCCGATGAACGAAGAGCCTATAACAGATTATTGAGAATAAGACGACGATGATGATATAAATGGGCCTCTGGCCCAATACTAGTGGACTCACTCTTCGTAAGAGACACTATATACTCTTGGTGGTTCCGTCGTTAATTACTGGATGACATGACATTTGTAAGGAAGGGGGCAGGCTTGTTAGGATGAGTTTTTCTTTTACAAAAACTGGTTTTTTTTTATATATATAAAAAAGATCATTTTCTAGAAAAAGTCTGTTTGAATATTTGTTTTTTTTTTTTTTAAATAAAAGTCATAGAAAAGTCAAAAACCTACTTCTAGCTTCTAAAAAACAGAAGTCAAAAGTTAAATATTTTTTTAAAAATTTAAATAATTTTACATTTTGTAAAAAAACACTTTTAAAATAAGTACGATATAAAAAGTTCTTTTTAAGAAGCCCAGGGCAGTTAATAAATATAGTCCTTTCATTATTTGCACTAAATGTTGCCATAGAATATTGTCCCTAGCAACAAATATTTTATTTATATTGATCTTAATTATTTATCTGAGGCGAGTCAGCATCTAATATGCTCACAAGCTTCAAGTTTTTAGTAATTCTAAATCAGGATTTAATCACAATTAAATTTTATTATTTTTATCTAAAAATATATTTGGTGAGAATTGAATTTAAATTAATTTTCTACCTAGAGCGTGTGTTGCCAACTAACAATTGTAATTTGAAACATCTGGTTTATTTCTAAACCACTTGTGACTTGTTATTGCTATCTTGTAAAGAAGCGTGGTTCTTCTATGTAAGCTTCTTCAGCTTTACATATTTTGTGAATGCTAAGAGTATAAACCAACCAAAAGATACAATGAAATATTTTTTGGTGTGTTTAGATTTAAAATTTTGAATGAATTAATTGTGATTACTTTTGGAATATTAATTATATTTTCTTAGTGAATTCTTTGTGGATGTACTTTTAAGATGAACCGCTTAAATTCTTGAGAGTCATTTGTTTTCACGCTTCCACATTTCTATGCTAGGTTGTTGTTGTTGTTTTTTTTTCACTTGAGGCCTAGGCCCAAACAATATGTAATTAATAATAACCATTCCAGTAACTCATAAAAAGGTACGTAAGGAATCTCCCTAATGTTAATTATAGAATAACTATATTTTCAAACACCAGTTAAGTTCATATTTAAAACCTCTGTTTACATATACATATTCTGCACTTTTTGTCTTGTGACTATCCTAAAGCACTACAAAACTGAAAACAAAGGCAAAGCAATTAGTTAAAAATAAGAAAAAAACTAACCAAGCTAAAATACACATACATAAACCAAAATTGCTCATCCTGGATGAGGATTTTCCTGAGAGGATGATGATTACTTTAAAACAGATCTCTTAACTCTAGCTACCTCAATCAGTTATTCTTGGGCGGGTGAGGTCTTGGAACATAATAATCAGCATTCAGAGGTACGAAACCAGACATCATCATCTTGGCTTTTGTATAATGGCTACTCCTTTTACTGAATTTACGTTTCACATTCAAAATTCCTTTCCCTTCTTCATGACTACACTTTCCAATCAAGCAAAGGGCTTTCTCTTTGGTGGTTGAACTCTGTGCTATATTTTCATTATTCTCGGACTTATTCACCACATTCGACTTAGAGAATACTCCTCTAGACATCATTTTCCTTCCTGGAAGAAATCTCACCCTTTGATCTAGAACACCATGGTGAGTCTGCTATAGAAAATTGTTACCACACTTACCAAAAAAATAAAATAAAATTAATTCACCCACTTTTTTGAATAATTTCACAACATGCACATCTCATGTAGAAAGTACGGTACATAACTTAATTACCTCTACGTTCATTGCACTTCTTGCCATTTCAAGCTTGCTTCCAGTGGTAATAACCTGCACTCTCTTCTTACCTGAACAATAATATGAACATGTGTTTTACAAAAGGTGAGGAAGATTAAACACAAAATTATGGCAACAACACAACAAAAAGAGATCGGGGAAGGAAAAAAACTGGTGAACCTTGGTGTTGGGTATGTGCGGTGGAGAATCTTATTAGAGGAAGCAAAAGGAAAATTAAGAGAAAGCTAGTGGACCTAATTGACGACACCATTATTGCGATTCGAATAACAATTAAGGGTGGTAAGGGTATGTCGTTGAACAAAAAGAGGAGAGGAACCTTGGAAAAGTTAAGAGGGTGTTTATTTATATAGGGTCCAATTCCATGTCAAAGCTAGCGATCTTCTCTAGGACATTTATGAACAAAAGAATGATTTATTATTAATATTAAATAATATATATATTGTGGCTTCCTAATTAGTCATTGTTTGGGAAAACTATAAATGAGCTATGTTAACGAAGAGAGTTGAAAATGGCTTAATTATTTGTTTGTGTGACTCATGGTATTTGGTTTCGAATCAAAGTGTTGGAAGAAAAACGTGTATGATCGCGTGAAACGGGAGATACGAATTGTTCAGCGCTTGTCGGCCGCCATGCATGCAACGAGGAAAACTTGTTTCGATGATGGGGTAACCCCATGAAATTTCTTATACCTTTTTCGATCTTCGACAGTACTTTGAAAACGTATTTTAGCTCATTCATAGGTAAAATGTTAATAACTATTTAAGTAGTTATTATCGTGACTTAGTCTTTAAATAATTGGGTAAAAGTGGGCACGATTTGTGTTTGTGTGTGTGTGTAACGTGCATTATATAAAACAAAGGCAGTTACATAGACTAATAGTTATATCTTATTCTTGCGGTTTAGGTAAGGGACAACCATATACAGCCTTAACCCTAGTCTCGATTTGACCGAACTATCGCGTACTTCGAGCGAAGTGTTTTCATTTGACCATTATAATTATTTTTTTCTAAATATAAATCCTATATTAATTATTATAAATCTTTTAAAGAAATGGCATCACAAATTTATCAGTAATAAAAAATAAATTATTTAAATAATTAAATATTAAAACCATTTATTTTGCTTCGTCTTTATATTGGTCATTCAACTTCTTATTTTTATTTTTAGCTATGACCAAAAAAAGAGAGAACAAAAGCAGGTTTCTTTGCTTGGGGCACTCTGATTTCTTAAGTTGATATAATTATATATTAAAAATTGATATATGGTATAATACATTGATATAATTATACTATTAAACTCTTAGTTATATTTTAAAAATTACAAAAGTATACTTTCAAAGTTATATGTTTGATGCCAGAAAGTAGAAACAATCAAATAAAGAGTATTCACGAATTTAAGCATATGGTGAATATGTAAATGCAACATACTCAATATTTCACACTCAAATATCCAACAATGTGTTCACCATACATCTTGTTTGTATTTGCTGCATTTTGTGGTGTGCTTATTGGTGATTGGTGATCGAGAAAAATCTACGGAGAAGGTTGAAGAGCGCGCGGTTGTGTGTTTTGTCCATCGAATCACATTAACAATATCATTGTCACGACCACCAGCTATATACTATACAAGTGTTAAAATTAATTAACTAAATTAACGTTTAACATAATTTATAAGACATTGCCACATAGGCGTGCCTTCCATTTTTGCTACATATAGGTACCCTATCCGCAGAAAAGGGGTCTACTAATGGAAAAGTGAAAACACCATAGACTAACCATTTCTATTTCAATGTTAGCTATTTGATATTTGATGTTTTATATAATATTTTTTTCGTTTCAAAACTTCAGAACAGAGACAGGTGACGCGACAAACGCGGTCCTCACATGGATGAATAAAAATATTAAGTAGTTCAAAACTTATTCATGCATGTCAAACGAAGAAATATAGACCCAGAATGTGTGTGCGCATGAAATTATGATCTCTAAAATTTTCAACATTAAATTTTCCTTAACCGAGAAGAATAAATGCCATTTTCTTTCCCTTGTTGTAGACTGAATGTAATTTCCCACCCTTTGTGATACTGCAACACATGCCCTAGCTTCTTGAAAATTATCAACTATATCACGTGTTGTTGTTGTTCATTTTTTCTTACAAAAACAAAAAACAAAAAAAAGGCCCGGCCGGATGTATGCAAAGGGTCCAAACTTTTGGACATTTTATTAGTGGTATTGAATGAATATATATATATATATATATATATATATATATATATATATATATATATGATGAATAAAATTATAAAAAGTGTATAATAATTATTGTTTTCGGAATGATTATAAAAGAAATTATAACTTGGTGAATAAATTAAAATAATCGCAAATAGTATAATTCTGATATATGAATGTATCGGTTTGTTCAGCAAATAAAATCATTAATTTGATGAGGACAAAATATATAAAATTAAATTTCACTTTTATTAATAAATAAATAATGTCTTAAAATTGGAGAGGGCTATATCTTTTCAGACTGAAAAGGAAAAAAAATTAACTTATATATATATATATATATATATATGTCTAATTTGCAATAAATTTTTGAAACGGTATTTCTTCACATTTAAGAAGTTCTCATAAGATAATATATGACTTAAACTATATACATTTTTATTCAAATTTTTACTCATACAAATCGCTTAGGTCATTTTACCAAAAAAAAAAAAAAAGGCTTAGGTCAAATCATATATTGTGAAACCATAACTACATCTTCTTCTGCGCAGTAGTCGATAAGTTTATTCAAAGTTGGTCACAAACTCTCATGAAGTTCAGACCAGACCAATCTTCTTGTTTTGTCACATAGTACTTTGCATATTTTCACATTGACTGTTTTACTTTTTGATCTTTTTGGCTAGATTTCCCATACACGTGGAGTCAAAAGGTTTGAAATATCAGCACGATATTCCATGCTTCCGTTTGAAAAATGGAATTCAAAACTACTTGTATGAAAAAATAAACCCGCCACCGTCAGTACTCACTGCGAAGAAGATGGTAAGAAACTTGGGGTATGTTATATGAGTTAAAAATTTATTCTCTTAAAAGAATATATGTATTAATGGGTATGGGAGAA